TTATTTATTTATTTTTAAAAAAAAATTTTTTTTTTTTAATGTTTATTTATTTTTGAGACAGAGAGACAGAGCATGAACAGGGGAGGAGCAGAGAGAGAGGGAGACACAGAATCTGAAATGGGCTCCAGGCTCTGAGCTGTCAGCACAGAGCCTGACGCGGGGCTCGAACTCACGAACCGTGAGATCATGATCTGAGCCGAAGTCGGACGCTTAACCGACTGAGCCCCCCAGGCGCCCCTGTTTTGTTTTTTTTTAAAGTGGAGGCAAGTAAGGTTTCCTGCAGTTCTCTAATTATTTGATTATAGTACACAATTATCAATATCTAACTTTAGTAATATAGTTTAAGTAATTTAATCAATAGTAATGCATTGTAGGTTAACAGAAAGGCAACAGAGTCATAGGATTTTTGAGCTGGAAGTTAATGTAAAACATGTGTGGATTGAGATATAGAGTTCCAGAGAGATCAAGTTGTTCACTGGTCACACAACTAGTAAATGACAGAGCAAGAACAAATACCCAAGGATGTGAACTACAAGTCTGCTTTATACAATGCAAATATAGTCTTAGTACTCTAAGTGATTATACATTATAGTTTAATATTCTGTAGGACATTTATAAATTATTCTTCAATTTTTATCCATAATCTCAGAGTTTTGAGGGGAAAAAAACCATTCAGAGTTATAAATTTGTTGTGATTGAAGCTACCAAGTTAAATTCTAGAAAACTGCCACTGAATATTAACAAAATAAATCAAATAACCTTTTTTTACTAATTCTAAACTTTATGTGAATATTGTTTTTCTTAAAAATGTCATTTTGCCTGTAGCATTAAAAGCTAAAGATGAAATTCATATCCCCGAATAATCCTTTACCCCCAAATATGACAGACAAATATGAATATTTAAACTGTTCATACAATCCAGGTGATTATCTTACATCCAGCCATCTGTCCACAGTGCTCTCCATGTCTGTTTTCATGAGGTTGAAATCACTACTGTGAATTTTTTTCAGCTCAGATAATAACTGTTTTCCTTTACTTGTAAAGTTATCCAATTCTTTCTGTTTATTACACATTTCATTCTTGACACTTTCATGCTGTGGACATAAATGTTTCTTTAATTAATAAAATAATCAGCGATAAGTCAGGTGTTCAAAACCATTTGCCTCTGAGAAATTTATTTCATGGTTTGACCTTATGCGGAAACATCAGTGATATGAATGAACTATATATCTTTTTGAATGGCTAGAATCCTAGGATATCAGTATTCCTAAAACAAAACAAAACAAAACAAAACAAAACAAAACAAGTTGAGTTTGTCAGCATGAATGTTCTACCTCTATATGTACTGACAAGAGTTTTGTAGAGAATTCATTATAAGTGAAAATAAGACCTACTAAGTCTACTAAAATAAATATATTTTTAAAAAAACTTATATAGATATCTTTTTTTTAAAGTTTATTTACTTTGAGAGAGAGTGGAGGAGGGGCAGAGTCTGAGATGGGGGGGAGAGAGAGAGAGAGAGAGAGAGAGAGAGAGAGAGAGAGAGAGTCAGTCCCAAGCAGGCTCTGCACTGCCAGCAGGGTCAATGCAGGGCTCGAACTCACAAACCCCAAGAACATGACCTGAACTAAGATCAAGAGCCGGACACTTAACCGACTGAGCCACCCAAGCACCCCTAAGATAAATAGATTTTGAATTATTACCTTGGATAAAGCCCATTTAAGATCCTCCTGATCTTTTATAGTAGTTCTGGTTGCAAGCACATTGTTGGCATTTTCTAGGACTTTAGAAACAACTGACTTCAGGTTCTGATAGTCTCTCATTAAGTCAATAAGTCCACAGCATTGACCCTGGCTATAACAATTAAAGAAAAGATATCATTTATTATGATGTATGAAAGGGAAGGATTCTCTATGATTGGACTTGATATGTAACCACACACATGTATTCATAGATGGCTGCTGGAATCAAGAGGAAACCATATTTCTACCCATTGAGGTCAAAGGAGTGTTGATCAAGCCAACTCAACTCTAATGGCCAAATTGTTTCAGTGAATGAAGAATGCACACAGTCATTAAAACAAATATGTGACCTCAATGACAAGAAAAAATATGTTCTTGACAACTAAAACTTATGTAGATACCAACAATCTTTGTTTCTTTAAAATTTTTTTGTGGTTTAATTGCATCATAGTGGTGTGTATTAAGAGGAAGCAAACAAAACAAAATAAAACAAAACCCCCACACCAAACAAACAAAATAACACTGCTTAATAAGTAAAATACACATGAGGATGTTGTTTTCCATTTCAATGACATAAATTTTCATTGAATTTGAATCCTTTTAAAATTGTGAAAATAAGAAGATAGGTTTTGTTTATAAGTATAAAATGTTTCTGAGCAGGCAATTCTACATGTAGGAATTTTTCCAAAGACAAAGATGTACACTACGATTGAGGTAAAATTATATTCTTTACATCATTATTTATAATAGGAGAAAAAAATAGAAATAACCCAAATGTTAAAAATAAGCTATTAATTTTTTTAAGCTTATTTATTTTTGACAGAGAGAAAGAGAGAGAGAGCATGAGCTAGAGAGGGGCAGAGAGAGAGGGAGACACAGAATCCGAAGCAGGCTCCAGGCTCTGAGCCATCAGCACAGAGCCTGATGCGGGGCTCTAACTCACAAATTGTGAGATCATGACCTGGGCCAAAGTTGGATGCCTAACTGACTGAGCCACCCAGGCGCCCCCAAAATAGGCTATTAATTGAATAAACTCTAATATATTCTTATAATTGAATACTGTGCAATCTCTAACAAATCACAATTTAAGAGAATATTCAATAATATGGAATAAAATTTTACAACACAGTTAACTTTCTAAAAACTTACGTTAATAATCTATAATATACAACAAAAAAACTTATGTACATAAAAAAATTGAACATGAATGTTTATAGATGCTTTTTGATAGTCATTAAACTGTAAAGAGTCCAAATATCCATCAACTGGTGAATGAATAAGTTGTGGTACACCTATTAAATCGAATATTATTCAGCTATAAAAAAGAATAGATGTTATTAATACACATAACAATGTACATTATGCTAAGCAAAAGAAGGTATTTACTCAAGTGCAGTAAAAACTTAGGCACATGCACCCAATTGACTATGAATGTTTATAGATGCTTTATTTACAATCATTCAAACTGGAAAAAATCCATTTGTATGTGATTCTGAGAAAAATAATACTACAGAGACATAAAACTGATCAACAGCTGCCAGAGACTAGACATGGGGGACGGGTTGATCACAATGAGACATAGGAGGATTTTTTCAGGTGGTGGAATGATTATACAAGAGTTGATCATAGTAATACACAGTATGTGTGTAATCATAAACTGAATGTGTGTTAAACTCATACAAGGGCATACACTTAACAGGATGAAATTTATTATACGTATATCATACCTTAGTTATAAACAAGGAAAACAAAACAAAAAAAGAAAATCAGAGGTTAAGACTCTCACAGTAGCCCTTTGTAATTGTTGACAACTCCTGCTTTTAAGCGCTACGTTTCACCTACCATTGTTATTTCAAGACATCTTCCTCAATAAAGTTTTGTAGGACTAAATTTTTAACGTATGAGAGACACAGAATACCTAAGGTGGCAAAAGATACTCAACTCGATCACACCAACGCAAATCAACAGACAACAGCCCAATGCCACAAAATAGAAAGTTGAAAACAACAACTGAGAGGATTTTTACTTACTTTTCATGAATTAGTTTTTTGGTATCATCCCAGGTGACCTCTAAGCGGTTTATCTCCCTGTCGACCTCAGATGCAAAGGCCACATCTTTCTGAGCAATTTGTTTAGCTTTGTCTTTCAACCAACATAGTTCATGCTCATGAGAATTCAATTCATCCTCTAACTGATTAAAGACTCTCAGCCTGTGAATCAAAATGTTATTATATTATTAACTTATTAAAGGTAAGAACTAATATTTCTTCTCCATAAAGCACACCTATAGCTATCTGGAAAAACTTTTTTTTTTAAATTTTTTAATGTGTATTTATTTTTGAGAGAGAGCGCACGTGCACGATCGCACGAGGATGCGAGTGGGGGAGGGGCAGAGAGAGGGAGACACAGAATCCAAAGCAGGCTCCAGGCTCTGAGCTGTCAGCACAGAGCCCGATGTGGGGCTCAAACCCACGAGGCATGAGATCATGACCTGAGCTGAAGTTGGACGCTTAACAGACTGAGCCTCCCAGGAGCCCCAGATATCGAGAAAAACTTTTAACACAGCAATTAAATTAAGGTACCTCAACTGAGAATGATGCCTTTTAAACTTAAATTTGCAGAATTCATACTCTACCTTAGGAAACATTTAAAGTCATTTTCGCTATTCATCATCAACTTTCTATTAAGTCTGTATTCTCTTTCTATTTTGCTTTCACAGTATAAGACTTGAAAGACTAGGGCTGGACTTGTAGGTAAAGTAGGTGAGTCCTTACCATAAGGTCTTTGGTAAAAAGTCCTTCTGTGCCCTGAGGTCCAATTCATGTAAAATAATAATATTTAAGAAAACAGTTGTTTCCTTTCAAATAAAAATAGCTTTATTTTTTGTCCCTAATATATTGCTCTTTGAGCACTTGTAAAATGTGGCCATGTAGAGGCAGCCATGGACTCATAGATTCTTGCATTTTGGTGTAGTGCTGTAGAGTTGATAAAGTGAGTGCACATGCACTATTCCATTTAATTCCCCAAATGAAGTGGTTAAGAGCAGGCATTATCATTATCTGCACCTTACAAGAAGACAGGGGATTTGCCCAAGGTTGCACAGTGAAGCGGAAGTATGGTTGGAGCTTAATAAATCCATCAATTCAGTGCAACATTTTCTATAATATCTGTGTGATTTTGGTGAGTTCAGTGTTAGAGGTATTGACATGGCTCTTGAGCCCAATCCTGGCCTTCTTCTCCAGCAATTTTAGGATCGCCTGTCTGTCTAACCTAATTAGGCCAGGGAGAGCCATTCTGCCCTGCAGCACCAACCCGATTGCTGACTCCCTGGGTGAGCTCTTTGTTCTTTTGCTGTACTTGACTCCTCATTTTGTCTTTCCTCTGGAGCCTATTATTCCATCTCAAATTGTATTCCTTTTTGTAAGTTTGTTGTTACACTAGTCAGCTTATTGCTCACAAGGCATGTTAGCCTCATGAGCCATTATTATCTAACTGTAAGCCTTTGCTAAATGTTTGATTCCAGTTAAAAGGAAGCACATCACAATGGTCTTGGCAAGATCGACACAATCCTTATCGATTATGGACACCTTGGTATGAACACATTTCAGCTGTTTCTCTGCCCCCTGAAAAAAGTGGAAGAGAAATGACCCTGAGAACATAGTGGGGAAAAAGGTCTATTAAGAAGGAAAAATAAGGGGCACGTAGGTGGCTCAGTCGGTTAAGCGTCTGACTTTGGCTCAGGTCATGATCTCAATATGTTCGGGTTTGAGCCCCATCGGGCCGGGGTTTCCAGCCAGCTCAGGGCCTGGAGCCTGCTTTGGATTCTGTGTCTCCCTCTCTCTCTGCCCCTTCCCCACTCAAGCTCTGTCTCTGTCTCTCTCAAAAATGAATAAACGTTAAAAAAAAAAAAAAAAAAAACTTTAAGAAGGAACAATAACATGAGGGTTCCTGGTGGTTCAGCTGTTGGCTCCCCTCCCTGAGGCTTTCTGGCTCAGGTCATGATCTCACAGTTTAGGAGATCAAGCCCCACGTCAGGCTCTGTACTAACAGCGAGAAGCCAGCTTGGGATTCTCTCCCTCTCTCTCTCTCTGCCCCTCCCCTGTTCATGCTGTCTTGCTCTCTCTCTCTCTCTCTGAAAGTAAATGAGTAAACATTAAAAAAAGAAGAAGAAGAAATAAGATTGAGATGAAGGTTATAGTATTAGAGGAAAAAATTTCTTTCAAAATTACGGTAGAAAAATACCCCCTGATCCCTTCGGTTCTCTATTAAACTCACCTGACAAAACCCCACCTTAGGTTAAGCCCACTTCTCTGCCTTCTCCATACCTCTGAGCAAACAGTCAAAAGCAGTTGGTGAAAACTGCTCTGCCAAGCTGACTGGTTTCACTTTAAGTGAAGGAATGCAAATCTCAAACCTTACCAAGCTTCCAGAGACATCATTTCCATGTCCTACTGAAGAACCACTTTATACCATTTTCTTTCCGCCAATATCCCGCCCCTCACTCTCAGCTAATGAGCTTGCTCCAGTCTTTCTGAGGGGCTGGCTGCCACCAGGAAGAATTCCCTCAGATTTTTACCACCAGAACTACAAAGCGACTCGGATCGTCTGCCTTCATTTGTACTACAGCAGACGAGGCCCTTCTCCTCACAGCTAAACGTTGTTTAAAAATAGATAACATGGGGCGCCTGGGTGGCTCAGTCGGTTAAGTGTCTGGCCTCGACCCAAGTTATGATCTCACAGCTTGTGAGTTCAAGCCCTGCTTTGGGCTCTGCTCTCAGCAAAGTCTGCTTTGCATCCTCTATCCCCCGCTGTCTCTCGGCTCCCTCCCTGCTCACTCTCTCAAAAATAATAAAAAAAATTTTTGTAAATAAAAAAAATAAAAATAGATAACATAATCTGTATAGTCTGTTATAAATAAGATCTTAGAGTGGCTTACACAGACACAGCCCTTAGGAAAATCCTTAAGGAAACCAAAGAAATTTTAGTACTTCTTTTTTTTTTAATTATTTTTAAATGTTTATTTATTTTTGAGAGAGAGGGAGACAGAGTGCCAGTGGGGAGAGGGGCAGGCAGAGAGAGAGAGGGAGGCACAGAATCCGAAGCAGGCTCCAGGCTCTGAGCTGTCAGCATAGAGCACAAGCCCTGAGATCATGACCTGAACCGAACTCGGACGCCTAACCGACTGCGCCACCCAGGTGCCCCTAAATTTTAGTACTTCTTAAGTTCAAATTAGTCATTAATTTTACCCTCAGAATATTAAAAGAAGTTGCTAAATACGATCCTGTTAAAGTGTTGCACGAGAGTTAATTCTAGAGCAAAGAAAGATTAGACCACACAGCTGGCCCCGGCGGTTTCTTCCTACCTCTGCTGAAGAGCTTGACGCGTAGGCTCTTTCAGCCTCTCTTTGTCTGTCCTTTCTTCGATGTCCTCGATGCTTTTCAGCAACTCCTCTTTCTGGTCTTGGAATGCTTTTTTCAATGCTGCCAGGGCATCTGCTTCACTCTGCTTAGTTCCCAGAAGGTTCTGGATCCTCTCTAACTCAAAACAGAGGTGATCAGCTGTACTTCTGCAGGAAGTCCTTTGCTCGGAACTTCCACTTTTAAGATGGTACTGGGCTTTGGCGAGAATGCCGTCAAGACTGACGGCCGTAGATTCTAATGTTTTGGCATCCTGAATCGCACGATTTAGGTCCTTTTTTAATAAATCAGTCTGTTTCTTATTCATACTGTCGGTGGTTTCCACCGTGTGCCTCAGCCGGTGGAGAACCCCTGACAGAGAGGCGTGGTGCTGTAGGAATTCAGCCAACTGGGACAGGGCAAGCTGCCGCCTTCCCACCACCTGGCTGGCCTCCTCAAACAGCTGGAAGCAGTCCTCAGCCTTGCCCTGCAGGAGGTGGAGGTCCTCAGCTCGACCCAGAGCCCCCAGCTTCGCCAGGTGATCCCGCAGCCTCTGCAAGTCTCCCATTTTGCTCTCTGCTTCCGCTTCGTGGTCCTGGAAGGGAAGAGAGGGGTATTGGTGGCTCAGAAACCCTGTGGCTAATGACACGGACATATTCAGGAATGGGGGCGCCTGGGTGGCTCAGGCGTTTAGCATCCCACTCTTGATTTCGGCTCAGGTCACAATCTCACAGTTTGTGAGTTCGAGCCCGGCCTCAGGCTCTGTGCTTATCAGCACGGAGCCCTCTGGGGATTCTCTCTCTCCCTCTCTCTGCCCCTACCCTGCTTGTGCTGTCTCTGTCTCAAAAATAAATATATAAACTTAAAAAAAAACAATGAACAAAGACACATTTTAAATGCAACGGATGGTGTAAGATTTAAAGGTCATCTATAGCGAATCTTTCAGAGACGTTGTTAAAATTTCCCATTTTCTCGTCTATATGTTTCAACGTGAAACACAACTCTGGTTTGAAACTAATTTGTTCCGTGGAAAAGACTGTCATCATGCACAGAAATAGTAAAAGGAAATTTTATATAAATACATACATATATATGCATAATTTGGAAGATTTAAAATATATATGTATATACATAGTTCTAGTATATATAATATATAAATACTATATTATAGTATATATAATAATATTTTATATTTATAGTCAAAAAACAAATCACCAGCCCATAACGGAGTCACTTATGGTAGGTCATGTCACCAAACTGGCATTTCATACTTAACCCAACTGCAGTTTCAGACCCCTCCAGAAATATAGTGTTAACTTGTCAGTCAGGAGTTTTCTGGCCATGAGGTAATCTGTCACAAGGGTCCTCTCCTCCCTCCTCCCCCATCCAAGGAAGATGAGGTAATCTACAAGATAAGACCCCAGCTCAACCCCTAAGGGAAAGTGACCTTGCCTGAAAGGATCTTTTCTTTTCTTTTGCTAAGAACTTCCTTGTCCCACTTTCCTTCCTGGGAAAACCTTCCATTTTGTACAACCCCTCTGAGCTCCTTCCTATTTGCTGGACGGGATACTGCCTGATTCACAAATTATTTAATAAAGCCAGTTAGATCTTCAGATTTACTCAGTTAAATTTTTGTTTTTTAACAATTCTCTCCCTTGCTCTCTCTCTCATGTATATATACATATATATGTATATATATATATATATATATATATATATATAAAATAACAATACTAAATATATATACTATATATAAAATATATTGTAGTCTGAAAATTTTAATACACACACACACACTAAAGCTAATTCTAACAGAGTTGTAGGAAAGAATAATAGGAATAGATTAGCCTCTCGTCAGAGGCACTGGGTGAAGCAGATGAAAATACACAGGTTTTAGCTCCCTCCTTTACAGAAATGAATATGAACTCCATGAGACTTGCTCACAATAAATCGTGTTTGAAATCTCTTAGAGCATTGCTAACAATCTCAGCATGGCTCCCATTAAAGAGAAATTACTATCTTAATCTTGACCACAATGGCCTTAATATTCTCCTCAGCTTGACTATTACACTTTAGAAAGCTTCTTTGAGCCTTGACTTAGGAGAATTTACAAATTCATTCTCTGCCCTTTTGAGATAGAAATCTTTTTAAAAGTTTCTGTACAGTTACAACCCAAGAATGTTTCTCAGGAACATGGGAGACATCCTTTCCAAACCAACACACTGAGTTAACAAATGCTTGATGGTTTTACCCTAAGGAAACTCTGGTTGATGTGACTGATTTATGAGCTTGTTTTGTTGTAGAAGCTGAGTGACCACAGATGAGCAAAGACTAGAGCAAGCTGGGAAGAATCCTTGCAGTTGTGCAGAAGGGACCAAAAGTGATATAGAGTAACCTCTATGATGATATACCCCTCGATCTCCCCCAGCTGGTCATGCTCACACCGCCATCTAATGAACATGTGTCCCATGAAAGACACAATTCCTGAATGCACAGCTCAGAAAGGAGAATACCTCCCTTTTCCCCTATATCCACCTTAACTCCTTATCCTTAAATGCACCCAACCCCAACCCTCTGGGGAGACAAATCCGAGCCAGCCTCTTATCTCTGTGCTTGGCAATAAATCTTTCCCTCTGCAAAAGCCCAGTGCTATGGTATTTGGTTTTCTGTTGCATGATGGCAAATGAACTCTTTTCAGTTTGGTAACACTTTTGAAATATAATCATGAAGGAAGATAGTGCCCCCATCTCCCTGTCTCTTTCTAGGGTAGGAGCCCAACTTCAGTGGGCATCTTGCTCTAAGTGATAAAACTACTTGAGGTCATAACGATATGAGCTAGTACTATTCCTCTGGGGAAATCCAATTAGCAAAGCTGGCACAAAGTGAGCACTCAATAAATATTAAATGTTTTATCATTAAATATTGTTATAAGTTTATTATGTAGCTTATCTCCAACTACCCCAATACTTGATCAATATCTGATTTTTTAAATATTTTTTATGCCAGGATAGATATTATACATAATTTATAAATAAGGAAAATAAATCGTGAATTTTATATAACTTTCAAGCTAAAGAGTAATTCAGAAAAACTGTATCATTAAAGCATTGGAATTCACTATTAGTATGATAGGGAAAGAAGTCGGACGTTCAACCAACTGAGCCACTCAGGTGCCCCTAGTCTCGGCCATTCACTTTTGAATGCCTCTTCTCTGCAAAGAGAGCTTTCATACTATTCTTGCTTTCTGATCTTAAACTCTAATAAGCTTGTGCCTGCTGCTCATTTTATTCTGTGTCCACCTCTTCATTCTTCGAAGCAGCGAGACAAGGAACCCTGGGTCTTAAGGTAAAAAATCCTGCAACATTTGTTTTCAACATTGGAACAAAACAAACCAAGAAGTTTAAAAATGAACATTCTTGTCCCTTTACCCTAGAAATCATTTTTCGAAGTAAGTGTCTTAAGGTGATTGCCTATTTTATCTGAAGTGGTTTTATCTGCTTAATTGATCTGCATAACACATTGCCTGGACCCATATGCTCAATTATTAAAACATTTGCATATGAATGCAAGGTTAACTTGCTGTCAAATGGTTGGATATTTTAAAAAAATAGTGCTTTTCTTTATAATTCAAGGACTCTCTTTTATGAATAAATTCTTTGATCTTAAAAGAATGCACTTTACCTTGTGCCTAGCAAATGCTGCCTGATGGTCTGTTATGCTTATCTCCGAAGTAGTTTGTAATTCACTGAGAAATAGCTTAATCCAGACAGAAAAGGAAAGCAGCAGTTCATCAAATTGCTGGTGTTCAGAGACCACAGACTGAAGAAAATTAATCCTATGTAGAGAAAGGTGTTAAAAGTTAAAACGTCCCGCAGATGAACAGAAAAAGACAATGATGTATTTTTGCAGTAAGTTTAAATGAGGGCAAAAGTGATGTGGTCATACATACAATGACAAATCAAGACCCTACAATTCGCTCTCTAGGTAACAGCCAGGAATGGTTTTAATGTAACCAGAACATTATCTGCCAAGCTTAAACATGGAGGCAATTTCCTGTAGCACCTAGGAAGGTGAACTCCAAAACCAAAACTGTGGTCTATGAGGGACCCACATAGTCAACTTCTCTGACCTCATCTGATACAGCCCTGCACCACACTGCGACTGCCTCAGTGGAGGAATACCATGTGAGGCAAAATTCTAATTACCATTTTTTTCCTGTACACAAACAGCTTGGGCAAAAACAATACAAACATGAGCAACCCTTCCTGTTTCGATATATTTCAACCAGTTTGATCATTTGCTTTAAATGTAAGACTGAAATTTTGGACTGAGACTCATCAGAAATGCTAATTTTTGAGCACTTTGAGGTTCTTTTCTTTCTTTTTTAAAAATTTTAATTCCAGGGGCACCTTGGTGGCTCAGTCCCTTAAGCATCTGACTCTTGATTTGGGCTCAGTCACGATCTCACGGTTTGTGAGTTTGATCCCCACATCGGGCTCTGTGCTAATCCCTTTGGATCCTTTGTCTCCCTCTCTCTCTGCCCCTCCCTCATTAGCACTCTCACACTCTCTGTCAAAAATAAATAATAAAACATTTAAATAAATAAATAAATAAATAAATAAACAAATTTTAATTCCACTATAGTTAACATACAGGGTTATATTAGTTTCAGGTGTACAATATAGTGAGTCAACAACTCTATACATTATCCAGTGCTCATCACAATAAGTGCTCTTAATCCCCTTCACCTATTTCACCCATTCCCCCACGCACCTTCCCTCTGGTAACCATTAGTTTGTTCTCTATAATTAAGAATCTGTTTCTTAACTTTGTCTCTTTTTTTTTTCTTTGCTCATTTGTTTTGTTTCTTAAATTCCACATATAAGTGAAGTCATATGGTATCTGTCTTTCTCTGACTGACTTATTTTGCTTAGCATATACTGTCTAGATCCATCCATGTTGTTGCAAATGGTAAGATTTCATTCTTTTTCATGGCTGAGTAATATTCCATTGTATACATACCACGTCTTCTTTGTCTATTCATCTATCAATGGACACTTGGGCTGCTTCCATAATTTGGCTGTTGTAAATAATGCTGCTGTAAACATAGGGATGCATATATCTTTTCAAATGTGTTTTTGTATTCTTTGGGTAAATACTCAATAGTGGAATTACTAGATCACATGGTAATTCTATTTTTAATTTTTTCGAGGAACCTCCATGCTGTTTTCCACAGTGACTGCACCAGTTTGCATTTCCACAACAGTGCATGAGGGTTTCTTTTTCTCCACATCCTCGTCAACACTTGTGTTTTGGATTTTAGTCATTCTGACAGATGTCATGTGATAGTCTCACTGTGGTTTTGATTTGCATTTCTCTGATGATAAGTGATGTTTAGCATCTTTTCATGTATCTGTTGGCCGCCTCCACGTCTTTGGAGAAACGTCTGTTCATGTCATCTGCCCATTTTTTAATTGGATTGTTTGTTTTTTGGATGTTGAGTTATATCAGTTATTAAGTTCTTTACATATTGATATATTTTGTTTGTAAGTTCTTTATATATTTTGTATACTAACCTTTTATTGGGTATGTCATTTGCAAATATCTTCTCCCATTCAGTAGGTTGTCTTTTAGTTTTGTTGACTATTTCCTTTGCTGGAGCACTTTTATTTTTTAAATGATAAAGTAATTTTCCCCCCATCTATACTTATCTGAATAGCTTGGTTAAGTAAAAGCAAACAAAACTCTGTTTTCTTACCTTATATGCTAACCATTTTTTAAAAAGAATGATATAATTTATGTTTTTTTTTAGAAAACCCAACCTGTTGCTAATTATCTGTGGCAAATCTCTCCATCTCTCATCCAACTGCTCCAAATGTAGTTTCATCATTTTCACATCATCTTTGGAGGCCACTGAAAATAGTGATTCCTTCAATTGCAAAAGGTTGCTATAGACTGAGGCCTGGGATACAAGTTCGTTTTGCAGTGCCTGAAAGAAACAGAAAACATTATAGATCTCATCCCAGCATGATCAACTAAGAAGGACCATGTGACACAGGTGGTTGTTGTCCAAAGGCTTTGCAAAACAGAAGTCATTGGGACCAGGCCTAAAGAGAGTTTTTATTACCCGATTGAGAATGAATTTGCTTAACCTTTAATGAAACATTTAAAATGCTACTAAGTCCTGAATTCGTTTTCTGAAGTCTGAGTTCTATTGAGTTAGGCAACTTTCTTTCTGCAGAATTGCTTTCAAGATGAAGAAACGGAGGAGGTCAAGTGAATCAAAGAAAAGCTATTGCTAAAGAGAAACAATGCATTTCTAACAATAATAGAGATGGAATTCTGGGTACCAGGAACATGGTCTCCCTCTTCCTTTAGAGACTATGTTTCCCAAACTGGGCAACTTTAAGGCTCTTCATTTTGTTTTCATGCCACAGAATGACTTATTTTTAATCAGGCAACGAATCTCTGAGGTGCTGTGAGGGGTGCATAAAAATTGTGGTTCCCATCTAATACGAGATGGAAGATAAACACTCGTAACATGGCGTTGAGTGGGATTATAATGTAGCGTGGCACATAGCAGATGCCTGTCACCATGCTTTTTCCCCTCCTGAATGAGGCCAATGTGTGTGATACAAGCAAACGTGCTACAGGTTTCAGAGGAAGGAGTACATAGCCTGTGGATGGCAGGAAAGATCATAAAGCAGAACTGGGACCTAGGCTGAGCAGGACAAAACACACACAGCCAGACTGTGTGGATGTACAAGGAATGTTAGAGCACAGTGTGAGGCAGTTTGGCAGATACTGTGCCCGGATGCAGGGATCTCAGAGCCTTCAGCCCCCTCCTGGTCCCCTAACCCACATAGCACTTACGTTCTGTGTAGAGATGTGTAGGAATAGTTTTATATGGCCAGATATCTTTGTGGCATTTTTAAGAAAAAGAGCTGTGACTTCCCTTCTTAGAACACCTTATGGTGTATTTTTTAAAAAATAAGAACTTGTTTTTCATTGTGGACTGATGATTGCTCTCTAACCTCAGGGCAAGAAACAGTCACTGGGACTGACTTCTCCTTCTGAGGAGCGACCCTTTGGGCGATTAATGAACAATGTCAGTGTACAATAAAACAGAAAGGCAGCAGGACCAAGAGTGTGGGAAACCCTCAAAGTCAAGGAAGGAGAAAATGTGAACATAAACTTGCCTGTATTGATTGAAGTTCACTCTCTACTTTGACTCTGTCTGCAGAAATGCCCATTTCTGGAGAACTGGCTATTGCCTCACACCGCTCTAACCAGGTTAAAAAGGTTGACAATTCTTTCTCTAGCCTAAAGAAAGCAGAGGTGAGAAACGAATTAATCCAAGATTATCATGCCAGAAAACTAACCTTTCCAAAGTTGCAGGGTCCAACACTAACCATTACAAATAATACAATGTTGGTTACATTATTCCTAGATATGAAGGCAAAAGAAGAATAAAAAGCCCATTCCCTTCACGTTCATATATGTATTTGTACACACGTTTCTATCTGTGTAATACGAAGGTACATATATATCCTCTCCACTCTCAGGGATCTTCATCATCTAACAAAGACCAAGATGTTCCCATATTAGACACATGAGCTGATGTGTTTTACAACTGGGGTGACTGTTTCCCAACAGCTGGTCCAGAATTTCCTACCTACGAGTGGCAGTTGAAATCCATGCTGCCAACTCAGGAAGGAAAGTGGCTCACCTCTGCCAGTGGGCCAGCAGGTTCTCCAGCACAGCCTGCCTCTCCTTGGCCCGACTCCGTGTCTCCTTGAACTTCTGCTGCAGGGCCGCGGCCTCTTGAACGGAGGAGGTGGCTGTGTTAGCCACCTTCTGGGCGCTGGCTGAGACTGTGGTCACTGCACTGTTCAGCGCCTCCAGGGCCTGGCAGAGATCCTGACATGAGGCAAAAGGAAAGCAAAGGAAACACAACATCAAGAAATGAGGCTTACGTCTTTCTTTGAGACCCGTCACCACCCCAAATTTTCCCTAAGTCATGATAACCAGCAATGGAATAAAAATGACTCTGTCCATGATCTTCAGCAAGACATCATCAGTGAGAGAGTTACTTCATGCATATAGAAGTCAAAAATGAAAATGGAAAGGTTTTTCCCCAAATAAGAATTTATTGCTGTATATCTGAATAATTTCAACTTTCCCTTAACGATGCAGATAATTTGTGAAAATTATTATTCATTTTATGCCAAATACATATTTCAAAACACGCTCTGTTTAATTTGTAAGAACTATATGTAACATGCAATCATCTCTATCAAAAATATATGGGGAGTGATATAGCTGACATGTTTGCTAACAGGAGTGATAATAAGGGTGCCTCGATGTTATGTACATTTCATATAAACACATTTAATCTTCATAAGAATCTTAAGAGTTGTGATCTTTCAATATCCTCATTGTACAGATCATAAATGATGACAGAGAAAAAAAATAATCTGCTTTAAGAAATCTAAATGTTAGAAAAAATAGAATATTATCATCTCTGGTACTCAGTTATTGACTTAGTTAACTATTTTTTTTAATGTTTATTTATTTATTGAGAGACAGAGAAAGAGTGTGAACGGCGGAGGGGCAGAGACAGAGAGGGAGAGAGACAATTCTAAGCAGTCTCCATGCTGTCAGCACAGAGTCTGACGTGGGGCTTAAACTCGAAAACCGTGAGATCATGACCTGAGCTGAAACCAAGAGCCGGCTGCTGAACCAACTGAGCCACCCAGGTGCCCTAAAAAAATGCATTCTTATTTTAAGTATTCAAATGATATAAATTCCACTCCCCTTTGCAGGTATTCCTTTGTCAACTGTTTGCTTTCTATCACTGTAGCCCCTGCCCTAGGCACATTATATGTGTGCATCCATGCACATATATAGGGACAACGTGTATATATATATTAATTAACACATTTATTTTTAGCTTTTTTTCATGCCTGATTCTCTCCCTCTGCTCCTTCCCCTAAATTTTACCAAAGGCATCTGTCCGTTCCTTTGCAGAACACCTCACAGTAGTTACTAGTTCAGGCACCAGGCCAAAAAAACTAGTCATCAGTGGAAGATTAGTGAGAACATATTCTTTGCACATCCGGGTGTAGTGAGTTAGAATCTAAAATCTTCTATGCACATGCAGTTTTTTATGCACATTTAATTTTTTATAATGCCTGCAAGAAGTAACAGAATTTACTAAAGCTATAATCAGAAAAAGTTACATGTCTTAATTATGAGAAATACATTGTAAATGAATACTCCTTTCATATGAATTTTTTAATAAAGACTTACTTGCGTACTTCTATTTCCTGTGTTAAGTGAAGTATGTTTGACTGTATCGTTCCCCAAGTAACATAAAAATCCTTTCAATTTTAACTGTCATAAAAATATTTACTATGTTTTCAAGCAGGAATTATCAGATTCCTCTTACCATATGTTCTTGGAGAATTTTGTATGTTTCTGTGGCTGAAGAACATATTTTAATTGGATCAGCAAGTTTATCTTCAAATTCAGACACAGACTTCTGGATCTAAAACATTAGTGAAATACAAAAATAATGGTGGGGAAAATGCATGTCAAAGAAGAAAAAGTTATTGAGGAAGCAGCATGCCTATCTTTTTGGATAACTTTCAATATAATGATACTATATATAGATATATTTTTTAAAAAAATCTAAAATCGATGTGTCCCACTGTTTGAAAGGAATAGATAAGCCTTAATGCCTAATCTGAACACAATGTAAAATTATATTTTTATATTACCTCAACAAAGGAACCCCGTGAATATTTAAAAAGTTGGTCATCATTGACAACTTGGTAAATGATTGGCAAATTGTATCTTCCCTTAGTCTACTCTTTCTGGACTATGTATTGCATTTCATTATAAATGCAATAGGCAATAGTAACTTTGGCACGCACAGACCCATTCTTACCTTTCTCAGATTCTCTTCAAACTTTTGCTGCTGAGATAAATGTCCCAGGATTGTTCCTTCCAAACACTGCGCATGCTCTCGGAGTTCTTCCCAGTACCTTCTTATTTGTGTCAACTTGGCTTTGATGCGAGCAGATTCTCCAGTGGTGACAAACTGAGCGAAAGACTGAGCTGCTTCTTCTAGCTCTGTAATGCAGCCGATCTTGCTTTCTATTTCCTGAATTATGACCTAATATTTAAAACAAGAAAAATGACAACGTAGGCTGAGCAAGCTTGTCTTCCTGAAATAATAGATTATCTGCACAGAGAGAAAATTAGGAGAGATTTTCTTAGCTGACATTTCAACATACTTGGGCTATTAGAGAGCAACTATGAACAAACATCATGTTTCCTGACCTTATTTGGGGAGGAGAGATGTGTAGGGTGTCTGAAAAATACAAACTGATGGTGGTCGTGCTCACTGCATAGAGAATAAAGGGAAATACCTACTCCTGTTGCAGTGAAGTGAGCAGAGAGATGTCCCTGTGTTTCTTTTTTTTTTTTTTTTTTTTGTAGTTCATGTCTTACTGAAAACTAGAAGTCTCTCTAAAGGTACAGAGAATTCCCGCTTATCCTGTGAGTTATGCCTTGTAACCAGTGGATCTGGGGAGCATTGTGTTCCAATAACTCATAGAAATGCTAGTATTGACATTCACTCAATTTCCCTCTAACTTGGTTGAGTATTTCATATTTTCCCAAGGCAAAAGCTTTTCTGATTCCACTCTTACCTAAAACCAGCCTTTTCAAATTTATCATCTAGTCTTTATGCCAGTGGTTTCCAAATTTGGAATATATTAGGATCACCTGGCCCCCATCCACAGGGACTCAGACTCAGCAGGTCTAAGGTGAGGCCTAGACTTTGCATTTCTTACAAATACCCAGGCGCTGCTGCTCCTACTGATGCGGGCTCCACTCTGAACCACTGCTTTACCCATTAGCTGTGGCCTCTACAGTGAAGCACCTAGACTATAATTCCCATTTGGAGCGGGGCGATCCTTTATGTATTCGCTAACACGTGAAAAGCACTGATGGCCACTAAGGATGTGGGTGCGGGAAGGAGATATGTCTATCATATACATAGAGGCTTATTTATGCGTAAGAGAATGAACATGATTCCTCTGAGAAAAAGAGCCAAATCTTCCAATCAAATAAAGCCAAAACTTCAGGCAAGTCTCAGTTTCAAGTAAGTTAAATGGAGAATACAACTACCCTAGGGAAAAAAAAAAAAAAATGTGTGACTTATGTCTACGTGAGACAACAGTCAGAAATAACTTGCCTAGATGAGACAATCAGGAATAATTTACATCAGATTAGTGCCAGGTGCTCATCACTTATTTATTTTTATTTTTCATATGCATAACTACAGCGGTATCTCTAATAGAGATTTGTTATTTGAACACGAACACAACCTTTCTTTGTTTTGCTGTTTTTCAAGGTGATATGTTGTAGAAAAATTACTCATAAATTCAACAAATATGTATTTACGTCCCCTAGGTGCCAAAAAGGGTTTTGGGTGTCTCAGTGAAGCAATCTTCATTAAGACCGAAGTTCTTAGATTTTAGAGTAATACGTGTCAGCAACAAATTCATAAATGCAAACTATGTAATCATACTGTTGGATTCTAATCCAAAAAGGGTAGATGGAAGATGGACCCAGTGTATCTTTTGTAAATTATCAACTAAGAATAGGAAAATCAGTCAATTTAGAATAGCATGTAATGAAACATAAAAGTGGGTTTCTAGATAAATATCCTTGTGACAATGCAAATACTTTATAAAGTTTAACCCTAAGGTTGTTTTCAAGTGAAATGCTATGACAAGTGTTACCTTATTTCTAATATTTCCTATATCATCTTTGGTTTGGAAACAGAAAGTGAACCTATTAGCCTAAATCCACAGTACTAATGTATTCCACACCATCTTTGCTTATTTCTAGCAAAAACTTTTTTCTATTATTCATATTCATTTGATACATTTTAGACAGTTTCCAAAATGCCATATTGGAATATTAAAATGTCTTTTTAATCTAACGACATGGAAATCTACAATTGAATGTTTATATATTTAAAAATAAAATGTGTAATCATTTTATTTCCCAAAGAGTAAAGAGGGGATGACATTTGATCATTGATATAGTTCAGAAGTCCTGGAAATGAATTAAGGTTGAAATAACAATAAAATGAATTATGGCAAGAATATACAAATTAAAAAGGGTATGTCAAAAATTTTTGAAAGAAAATTTTTGATAAAACTATTTAAATGTGCTATTCTTTGTTTTCTCAGGATGTAGTGAAGGTGTTAAATGATAACTTTTAAAAACAGCGTTAGAGATTAAACATATTTCATGAATACTTCTTAGTGGATTGGCATCTATTTTCCCTAGTATACCACCACACAAGACATTAACAGATTCCATACACCAGATTCCACATAGCCTTGAGTGCAAAAGATGTGTGATAAACCAGGATAATCTGCACGGTAATGTAAGCTTAGCTAAACACCATCGCACCCTTCCGCAGCGCACACGGGAATGACTTGTTCTGAGCCACACTGTGAAATACCTTGGTATTTATATTACTATTTTTAATTGAATGAAATGGCAGTGGGTTTTCCCCTTCCAAAAACATGAGATTAGATAGAAAAAGAAGTGGCTGCATTTTGTAAGTGTGTCGTGTAAAAAATGTATCAAAGACAGAGAATTCACGTCTTTCAGTCCTTTTCTTCTTAAACTATTTGAATGAAGTGAATAATGACAGTCTATGCACATGGTTATTTTAGAGCTGGGAGAGCTAAAGTATCAGGGCATCTCAGTTTGTGCCCAAAGGCCTTCATACATGAAAGCATTAGAGCAGTAGAGTCTGATTGTTTCACCTACAGAGAAAGTCATTTCTCCTCCTTGTGGTTTGGGAGGGTAATTGCCACTAATACTTGAGCTAGACATTTGGAACAATACTTACAAAGTACAGTTGTAAATGATGAATACATTTCATGTTGTATAAGTGAATCCACAGAACACTCCAGTGGGGTTAATTCAAAATCAAGGAAAAGAATAATGTAACCATAAAAACATTTTAATGATATTGCACACAATGTTGACTTTGAATGCATAAGTCAGAAAATAGTAATACATAATTCCAACTATAAAGTGTTGCCCAGTATCAATCAAGACCTCTTAGCTCATCATTTTGTGTGAATTGAATTTTAATAGAGTCACATAGCAATGAGAGATTTGTCGTGGGGCCAACTAGCATTTGATGAAATGTAAGACAGGAGTTCTTAAAAGCTAGACATGGATTATAAACGTAACGTGTGATCAGGTCACCTTAATCTGGTTGATTTGCATGTCCATGGCAGATGATGAAGTTTCCAAGGCATTGAGTTCTTTTTCTTTCTCAGTTATCCAGACGGACAGGGTCTCAAAATTATTGCCAAAATGATCCCACTTGTTTTTCACCATTTCCATGGTTTTAATACTAAAATTAACCAAATTAAGTAAAGAAAATGCAGTATTTTAATAGAAAACAACAATACACTTTCCTTTAAATTACCAGATGAAAAGAGAGTGAAGACACTTGTGACCATGTCCAAGTTGAAACTATCGGAACAGGAAAAAAATGCACATTCGACCCGAGTACTGAGTCCTCATGTCTTCCTATCTATCTCCTCTGAGAATGAGCATTTAACGAGGTAGTATCTACACTATGTTATGAAAGGAACTGTGCTTCGAACAAAATATTGCTGGGTCCAAAGGGGTTTGAATCCAGGTATAATCTAGGTAAACTCTACACATGACCAGTAGCTGCCAGGACTTTCAAGAAGCCGCCCACGTAGATTCCACTGCACAGAGCCTTTTAGCAGTCTGGATTTTGTGGACAAGCTCCTTTTGCTCTTAGAGTAGAGATCTGCAGGGATGCTCTATACTCAAAGATCTTTATAAAATGCATCTTTATGAATCAAGATAGAGCTTTTAATCTGAATCCCATGCTGCCTTGCAGGAACTGTTTTATCACTAGAGTTAAACCTGCAATTTATAATCTATAATGATTTGTAGCTATTCTTAGATGTTTGTACAGTCTTGATTCCAAAAGACTCTTATACATTCTTGTACATGAGCACCCTAACTGCTTTTAGAAAATTTGGGCTTTATTTCTTATAAATCTAGTGAACAAAATTTCAACTGTAGATATTCAGTTTGTATTAGCTATGCGTATATAATCATGTGATTATGGCTTTTAGTTTAGAAAAAAGACTAAGAAACTAACAGTGTATCATTAAACGGATAAGTCCTTGGGTTAAAAAAAAAACTGAAAGAATTTCCCTGTTTACCAAAAGGCACTTGAAGACATCAAGAAGAATGCAATGGCATCATTGAATGTCAAATTAAATAATATTGCACTCTCAAATGTATACCCTGGATGTGCCTAATGCTCTCATCAGTACAGGTAATGCAAACTAAGTTATGTTGCAAGTTGTCATATGAGACAGATTCAAATGGGCATTTCTAATAAAAGTAGCTTCTTTTCTAACAAACTCTAAGTTCCATTTTTTTCCATAACTTGGTGGATAGTATTTAAAATAAAGTTCTCAAAGTTTTAAGTCCTAATTTCCTTTAGACTATTTAACAAATTTTAAAGTTTAGGCAGATGTACAATGTTAATTTCAAGGTGTTACTAGTATTCAAAACAAGTTTCACATATTAAAATTCACCTTAGAAATTATGTCCTCTATCTTAAGAATAATAGGTGTTGGTGATCTGCCAGTAAAGAACTTTGAATAAAAATATGCAGCCATATTATTTTGAGGAACGTTGGCCGTATCTTCACACATTTTTCCCCCTCCAGATTTTTTGTGTGTTTATTTTGTACATAATAGCATACCATAGGCAATATTAAATGTTTAAAAGTAAAATAAATTTTTGAAGTTGAGTTTTGGAAATAGTATATCAATCAGCGACAATTCAAATATTGAGGCATTGTAAACAAGCTCTGGAAACTTCTTGGAGATGGAGACACTTGGTCTGTGTTATCTATATTTAAGCCTAGCATTTACACAACAAAAGTGTCTCTTCTTCTTCCTCACTGGTGACAGCAGAATAATGCAGTAAAAAAATTATCTTAAATACTGGTTCTTTTTTTGAGATTGTACGAAGGCCACAGAATTTAATAGATATGGCTTTCTCATGAACAAGATCAGTTTACAATGCCAAAACCACATCCCTCATACTTTTTCTGCTCTATTATATAGATGTTGGTTTTCTGTCTTGGTGACACTTCCTTTTGAACTGTGAGTTGCTTCCTCAAAACATGCTGAAATACACAGACACTTTGAGATTTTAAAAGAATGTTTTGAATACAATATACAGGAAAGGCTGTATGAAACTTTATCTCAGAGAAGAAAGTTTAGGACTTGTCAAGCACATACTCTTCTTCAAGTGTGTCTTCTAATTTTTTGACTTGCTCTTTGATTGTCTTGGCCTGCTGTTGAAGCAGCTGCTTATTCTTGGGCCCAAGTGGTATCTCGGAAGCTTCCTTCACAAGATTCTCAGCCTGGACTGCAATACCTTCTGTTCGTTTAGAAAACTCCTAGTAAAAGATGATATAATTGTTAGGAAGGCATCTGCTATTAAATTCTACCCTCAAATAAATTGCACATCCTTGCAGAATCTCTACCAGAATAGATGGATGGATAGATGGATTCATACATGTATGAGTATTAGAATATAATATTCTTAGCAATAAGACCTGACTTATTTTCATCATGGCCAGAATAGACACCTCACTAAATTATTTTCATTTTATATACACAGTCAAATATCTACCTTCATAATTATCCAACAATTCTCACAAGAATGTTTTCCATTGTTTCCTGGTTTGGGTTTATTGCTTAGAATTTAAGCCGCATTATAACAACTAACTTACCCACAAATATGTTAGTGTATTATGGGCTCCGTTCAGGCAATGATCAGTAGTGACTGATTTTTTCAGTCTTAGAGATAAGAGAGTTCTAGGCCGATTAATATAAATATTTATTTAACTAAAGACTATTTTAGTCAATATGGTGTATCACTGATACTTTCCCATAAAGAAACATTTTGTTAACTAATTCCCTGAAAAGAGAGATAATCTGATCTTAATGCTGTTAAATCTTATGGACTACATACCCACACACTATGCGATGAAAAGAAGGTAAGTTCTGAGCCAGTCAAACCTGGAGTAGAACTCTGGATTTGCTAATTACTAGTTGTTTGACTTTGGTGAATTATTTTTCAGGCTTTCATATAAAATTCAGATAGTAATGGTTTTCTTGTCAAGTTACTGTTAGCATTTTATTAGCAATTTCATTTTGAAGTGTGTGGCACATGGTTTAAAAATTCACACACTGATTTTCATTAACAGCAAACCACTTCAATTCAAAAATTAATTTAATATGGTTGAGGCACTGGTAAATTTGAGCTGTTACCTGAATTCTGTCAGGTAAATGTATTGAAAACTGAATAGCAAAGCTAATCCCAGAGATAATCCTGTGTGAAAAAAATCTTGTGTGAAAAAACTAGTGTCTCATTTCTTCTCATGTAAGAGAAGCTCACAGGAGGTTTTCATTTTGATCATAAACTCCCCTCCTCCAAAATAGGTAATGAAGAAATCTGATGTAAATAATGTTCAAAGGTAAGACTTCTGATAGCCACCTCTTCCCACGGAGATCCTCCTAGAATTATTACATAATGCCACGTAAGATAGTTACTACATAATACTATTGTATCTTCATGCTTGAAAGGCTTAAAGTCCTCATAGAAATATCAACATTCCTTCAGAGAGATACCCAGCAATTTGAGACAATAAAAATGGGTAAGTACAACTTCCTTTTTATGGCAGAGAGACTTATAATATCCTAAAAATTGGTATTCGCTAATGTCACATTAAATTCTGTGGTTATAAGCATCTACTGTGGCTATACATGAACTTACAGTCAGGTAGATTCAGTTGTGAAGACTGTGAATTCCATCATAATCTCTCAGAATCCCAAGAACAGAATCAGAACTGTAAAATAGTATCCCTCCCCCTCCTGGTGATTCCCAGAGCCCAGGAAAAATCATGGAGAAAGTGGAATTATGTTTGCAAATGCTTACATGCTCTCCATCTGAGAGCCTTCTGTAGGAGCTATGCATTGGGAAAGAACAATGCAGAGGAGGAATCCAAAGGACAGAACGATGTTGACTGAAACCAAATTAAGCCAAAATAGAATAATGTTATAAGGCTTTATCTCTAAGTCCTAAGAAGAAAACATATGAGTGGCAGTAGGATACAGCAGGAAAGGACAGACTCTGGAGTCAGGTCTGGAGTTGAAACCACGCTCTATCCTTCACTAGCCATGTGATCTTGAGTCACAGAACTCTGAATTTTCATTTCCTCATCAGTAAAGCCTTGCTGTGAAGAATAAACATGGTATTGCTCTGAACTCCCTACCACATGCTGGTGGACAGAAAGCACTCAAGTTCTTTAGCACAACCACTCAAGGGCTACAACTGGAATGAACGCTGTATTAACAATGTCAAGTGAGCAAAGAAGTGGAGGACAATTATTCTAGATGACGTGTTTGTGTAACAGCACATATCCACAGTAAAGTAGCTCAGTTTTTCAATGAAAAATCTAGTGGCTAAAGGTTTATTCTCTGGACTCAGACTTCTGAGGTTTGATTCCCAACCTTACCAGTTAGTAATCCTGAGATCTTGGACAAAATCATTAACACCTTTGTTCCTTGTATTTCCTCATTTATCCAACAGGACTCAAAATGATACCTATTTCTCAGGACTGTTTTGTAGATTAAAGATGATAAACATCAAGTGATTAGACAAGCATGTGTATACATTCAATAAATGTTAACTCACATTATTAAATCAATCCCAAACCATTACTGGCTAAGGAAAATTTTAATAATAACACTAAAAAGGTTATACTTGTTTCATCTACCGCTGACACACAAATTCAGAGGAATTAGAGCCACAGGGTATCAGAAGTGCTGGATGGAATCTGGGCAAAACACCTCCATGATAATCAACCCCCAAAATCTGTTTGTATTTATAAAAGATACCTGATATAGTTTTAATATATAAAATAATTAAAATTAAAAATTAAAATTAAAAGTGATGTTCTCTTTAAATGGCTGATGAAAATAATACAGAATTGAAAAAAATCTGTGGCTTTATAAGACTTTAAACTCCTCAGTGAGTTAATGATACAAGAAATAATACAAAATTGGCAGTATGAGAGACACAGAAGCCCTTTCTGGTAAGAGAAAAGAAGCACAGGGATTACTTGTTATTAACCAACGAACATGAGTCTTCTTTCTTATACATTGGCTAACACATTAACTCAGTCATTCTATTAACCCAAAACATGTGCAAAAAGACCAAAAGAGCCTGTACAACTCTCTAAATACTTCCTACAATTTATTGGTCTACTCTGAGCATCTAAGGTATTTGAGCTTACAGGTTTGATCTCATGAAGCACATCCACTAAATATTCTCTGTTGGATGTCCCACTGGAGCCTCAACCTCAATCTGTCCTAAACTGTGTCAGTCATCTTCCTCAACTGACAGCTACTCCTTCAAGTTCCTGTCTCACTCTCATTGCGTTTGTTAGGCTCAGAACCTTGGGGATCCTCATCTTTTCCTTTACTCTCTGTCTCTTGCATCCGTTACCACGGCCATCTCCATTACCCTGACTCATATCCATGTTAATACGCACACGCAATAACTTTCTAATTGGATCTCATGACACCAGTCTTACACCCTTTCAATTTTCTTAAAAACACGTAAAAATGCATCTCCCTAAAGTACGGCTCTGATCACGTGGCTCTCTTTCTTAAAAACCTTTAAGGGCTCCATGTTGCCTAGCAAGTAATGCTTTAGACCTTCACGTGTCTTTGTGATGTGGTCAACCTTCCAATACAATTGTACTTGCGCCTTTCTGCTTTAAAACCGAATTTCCATACACTGTTCTATTTCTGCCATTTCCCATTAGAAGAATGCTTATTTGCAGTCCCACGCTTTGCTTTTCTATGTCTTACTTGCCCTTCAAGTTTCAGTTACAAATATTATTGCCTTCAGAGAGATTTTTTTCTAAATGTATCCACCTGTGAGGGACGACCCATTTCCCACTTCAGTGAAAACTTTCTCTTAGTTCTTGATGTTTAAATCTTATGTTTTCATTCCCCAAAGCAACTTGACCAGTGTGTTGAAGAGTGGAAGGTCAACAATAAGTACTGATTACATGAACAATTATAATAATTAATAGTAACAAGGAATAGAAACACAGCTTTTCTTCTGAATAATGGGATTGCATAGTCATATTGATATACCTTTGTCTGTTCCAATTCTGAAGATAAACTTTCCAAACTGCTAAAACTCAAAAAGCGCTCATGGCTGGAACCTGTTTGAAAAAGGTATCTGACCACTGTCTCTTTGTTTGTTTCAAATCGCTCCCACTTTCTTAATGTGACCTAAATTTGAAAAAATAAACATATCATGTTATGGATTATCAAAGCATGTCACAAAATACTGTTCACATTTCCATTCATTTGTTAGGCTGTCAACTTCCAGTTAATTCTCTTCATATTTCATGCGGTTATGCTGAACAAAGATGATCTTAATGTCTCCTATGAGAATTTCACTCTGAGTTTCAATTCACCTACAAAAATCGGATGTGTAGACTAGCACCCTGAGTTTTCTACCAGCTGTAAAGTCCTATGAATCTAAGGATATTGCTCAAAATGTAGATAAGGGATAAAGGAAAAGAGAGCCTCCCAGTCTCTTGCAAAAAAAGAAAAATAATAGGGAGAAAGAGAAGAGAGGGGAGTGGGGTAGTGAATGAGCAGATAGCAACTCTTTAGAAACTTTTTAAAAGTGTCAAGATCACAACAAAGCATAAACATATGGCTGCTGGACTGCACAGAAAAGTGAAACGATCCAGTGTTAATTCCTGGATTCGGACAAGTATGGATTAAAATTCTGGCTTTGTTACTGATCGCGGCTCTGTGACTTTTGTGAAAGTCCTCAATCCCTTTCTTTTTAAGCTTCCATGTGGGCAAAATGTGCTAATTCTAATACCCATCTAATAAGGTTAATGTGACGATTAAGAGAGGTAACTCATGTTAAAAACTTAACACGGCCCTGGAACATCAGAGGCGGGAACAAACGTTCGCTCCCACTAGAAGGAGACATCACCTGTGACCCGGAAGTTAACACCGCCCTAGACTTCCGGCCTCCTACCTGGATGCGGCGTTCCTGCTTCTCTCTGCTGTGCTCCATGCTGTCCAGGGTGCTCTCCAGCTTCCGCAGCTCGTCCCGGACTTGGCCGGGCATCCCACCTTCTCCCTGCTGAGCCTGTGCTATCTGCTGCTGCACGTCTCTCTTCTTCGCAGAAATCCTCTTTGTCTTTTGCTGGAAGCATTTGTTCAACAGATGGGGATAAATGTTACTCTCTGAGCGGCTAAGCAGGGACAGAAACACCAGCACTCTAGCAGAGGTACAGAAAGGTAAAACCTCTCGGCAGTGTGGGGCCAAACTGTATTTCAAAAGTGAACTTGAGGGGCGCCTGGGTGGCGCAGTCGGTTAAGCGTCCGACTTCAGCCAGGTCACGATCTCGCGGTCCGTGAGTTCGAGCCCCGCGTCGGGCTCTGGGCTGATGGCTCAGAGCCTGGAGCCTGTTTCTGATTCTGTGTCTCCCTCTCTCTCTGCCCCTCCCCCGTTCATGCTCTGTCTCTCTCTGTCCCAAAAATAAACAAACATTGAAAAAAAAAAAAAATGGCAATGGGGACTCTATGTTGATCAAAATGGACATTATTTGTAAATATTTTGTGTTCTTAATGATAAACAATACAATTAATTTGGTCTTGGGTGTTTTAACTGCGGACAAATTTGAACATTTCACATTTTGTGTAGAAGGCGGGCCCTTTCCTCCGGAAGGAATTTGGTGAAACTATTCATTTGACCTGATTCTCCTTAAAGAATTATTTTTTGCCCCAAATCACAAAGTCTCAACTCTAATTTTTTTAAGTCATTCATGCTGTAAAAATGCTGATATTAAGAGATTTAACTCTGGGGTATATTCAGATTGATAAACCTGCCGAGATATTTCGGGAAAGCTATGTTTTAAAATAAACTTTTTATTGAAGTATAATGTACAAACCTCAAATCCATAGCTTATGAATTTTCACAAAGTAAACAAAGGCATATATCCAAGCATGTGATCCAAGAAATGTGAACAGTTTTAAAATATTAATGTAAATATCTGTAATCTCACATTTCTGACTTAAACTGACACTCAAACACAACTTTTACAATGATTGAGACTAGTGTAATACCAAGCATTATGTTTTCTTGTGCTCACAGCCTTTTTATAATTATTAAATAAATCTATAAAGCCTAGAGACTGCAGTTTTACATGTACATATATATATATATATATATATATATATATATATATACACACACAAACACACTCTTAATGCATACACTCTTAATGCAACTTCCATGTTTATATATTATCATATATAAAATTAGCTAACATTTTGCTATACGTTAAGTTAGCCAGAATTTTGTTATTAAAATATTTGATTTGAATCATTCTTCTACTTATATTGAGTTTGGCAAGTAAGTTGGCTCAAATTGTTTATTATCAATACATGTACCAGAATTTCTTTACTTCCAGTTCTAATCCTTCATAAGAGGATACTATTCTGAAAAGTCTGGTACTTCATGTGCTTTATAATTTTCCAAACTGAGATGTATTCAAAGTCGTAAATCGAAGAGCAGGATTTTAACCTTATGGCAAAGAACAGTGATCTTAAATATGAAGCACTTTATCTCTATGCTTTCCTTCTCTGTTACGAAAAGGACAAGTGAGCAAGTTTTATGAAGGTTTTCATAACTCACTCAACCAACTTTCTCTCTATAATATTCCTTGAACTTTTTGATATCATTCAATCACTTGGGCTAGGAATTTATCTTGCAGGCTCTTCTGAAATGGCTAATACTGAACAGAGAACAGAGGTACAAAGTTTTTGTTTTGTTTTGTTTTTTTTAACCATTCAAGTGGATTCCTTCCTGCACCCCCTTCCCTTTGCCCTCATCCTGTGGACGTACATTTCCCTTGATCTCTCTGGCTCTGTCAGTGACTAATGAACTTCACATAAGTGCCTTGGATAAAGCGCATCCTACCTGGTGATGAAGAAGTAATTGCTGTGCTTCAAACAGATTTTCAGTGTCCAAGATCTTCTCAGCTTGCTCCTGGACTTCTTTAGAGTCAGAAATCAACTCTCCAAGGGAACTTTTGACTATTTCTTTGTACTGGACACAGTCCCCAAAGTTGCTTAACATCTTTTCAACCTAGATTTTCATGAAAAATTGTAACTCATATGATGCTCATGTAATCTTAAAGATTTTAAGAATACATGTAAAGTCTATCTCAAGAACTTAAAATACATACACAGATCTCTAACTTTTATTCTTTCATATACTTTTGAGGTTTATTTAGTTATTAGTAAACTGACATTTATGTGAATTGCAAGCCTCATTTGAGGTGGGCTCTGTGCCCACTCAACCTGGCAATTGAGGCAGGGTAACAACAGTGGGTATATTGTATCTATTATCTCCTGGATCCCTTTAATTACAATCCCATGACTGAAATCCAATTATAAGTTATAAAAGTGCATTATAAGAAAGTTGAATCCACCCTATTCAAAGTAATTAGAGAAAAAGTTTGGGGGGGGGTATTAAAAGAATATTTATTGAAAATGCAATTCCAGTATTTTTACATAACCATAACATAATTTCTAATTTTGTGGCTATGTAGTGAATTCTTTTTCCTAAATTTTAAGCTTTCTCTTCTAATTTCTGCTTCCTCTAGTTCAGTGTCACCAGCATCTTTTCTTTTCCAAGCCAGTCGTTCTCCAGCTTCACTAAGATTTTCACGTTGTGTACCATTTGTGTTCCACAGAAGCTTTCGGTTTCTCTTTCTCTAATTTATCTTTTTCTTTGACCTGCTTCTGCTCTGAGTTTGGCCCAGGTAACCTGAGTGTGCTATTTTTCAAACAAAGCAATAAGACCCATGAAAACCACAAACTTCAGATCTCAGTAAATCACAGCTCTTGTGGAAAGAAGTGATTCACCATTACATATTGTCAATCTACCCACAGCCTTTTTTGCCTTACATTGGACAATCGCAAACACTTCGTGTTCAACAATAATTTAAATGCTAAATGGATTGATAATCACAGGATGCACTGAATGTGTCAAATCCATCTTTTAATATAAATCTTTACATGAACAACATGAATGTTTTCCATTATTCTTTCTTTGCTTTTACTAGTGATGAAGTAACATATAAAGGTATGAATATAAACTATGCAGAAGTTTAAGGTAGATGAGTGTGCAAAGAATTAATGTGTCTATTTGTTAGAGATAGATTTTTGCTACAAGTCCCATGGGCAATGTCATGAGCATACTTAGAGGATACAGTAAATAAATGGGTTTGGTAAAGTGTTAGGGAGACTGATACTTTCTAATTTTAAAGGCTGCCAAAGTGTTTTATGTGTGTGTAGGGGGGGTGGAACAAAATATAAACTCATCTATCGATGTAACTAAAACTATTTGTTAGGTCTTGGATCAAAGATCACTGGCACATATATTTAGTTTTTAAAACTACAACCATTATTTTTGCCCTTACCAGCTTCTTTATCAAAGAAAGAATAGAGAAGAATGATGTCAGAATTTTACTTAAAGTATGGCAGTGGCACCAACTAGACTATTATCATGAAAGATGGTTATCACAAGGATTGAAATAACTCATGTTCCAAAATTTGACTAATGCTATCACTCTTTTCAATTAGTCAAAAATTCTTAAGAAAGCTGACACATAATATCAAAATTTCCACATAAAACTAAAATCACATGCAGTTCAGAGTATTTTGAGCTTACGAAAATTCACTGCTAGAGTCTCAAACAGATCTACATGCATTGAAAATATAAAAGGTTAGTTGATCAAACTGTTACATTAAGGACATCTACAGAGAAATCCAAATCTTTAGAATCAGGGAACTTTAAGCCATCCAGATGATCATTTTTCCATGCAAGTTTATAAATGACTTTAAGAAATAATAGTAACAGTCTATTCAACTTTCCATTCTTACATTATCTTCGCGTACACAAACTCATTAGACTTGCATGGCAATCTGGTCAGTGAAAATGTTCTTGCTGAGGGTAGAAAGGGCCCTACCAGAAATGAAGGAGATAGGTTTGTGTATTTTAATCCACAGAGGAATATAAACACTGAAACGTATTAATAAGAAGTTTAAAATGAGTAGCTCTTGGGACGCTGGGTGGCTCAGTCGGTTGAGCGTTGACTTCAGCTCAGGTCATGATCTTGCAGTCTGTGAATCTGAGACCTGCATCAGCCTCTGTGCTGATAGCTCAGAGCCTGGAGCCTGCTTCAAATTCTGTGTCTCCCCCTCTCTGTGCCCCTCCTCCATTCACGCTCTGTCTCTCTGTCGCTCTCTCTCAAATAAACATTAAAAAAAAAGTTATTTCAAATGAGTAGGTCTGGCATAAAATAGATTTTACTGGTCTGTTAAAATGGAATATTTTATTATTATCAACTATCGGTTATTAAGCATTTACCGTCAGGCACTGAGTATAAGTGCTATAGTATAGTATAGGCACTAGTAGGTTTTATTTTTATTTTTATTTTTTAATTTTTTTTTAAACGTTTTATTTATTTTTGAGACAGAGAGAGACAGAGCATGAATGGGGCAGGGGCAGAGAGAGAGGGAGACACAGAATCGGAAGCAGGCTCCAGGCTCTGAGCCATCAGCCCAGAGCCCAACGCGGGGCTCGGACTCACAGACCACGAGATCGTGACCTGAGCTGAAGTCGGACGCTTAACCGACTGAGCCACCCAGGCGCCCCGGCACTAGTAGGTTTTATAAGAAAGAAAATCAAGGCCCAGAAATGTTAAATGACAAGGTCAAGATTACATAGGAAGCAGACTATCAGAGTTAAATTCTAACCTTGGGTTTGTTGAACTCCCAAGCCTGTGTACCTAACCTCTATAATATAGCTTCAACTGACCATGAACCAACGCTTTTAGTAAGAGTAAAAAGTGTGGATCTGATAAGCTTTATACTTTAGATACAGGTTATTATTCTGAATTAATATATCCAAGAATGACACCAATCGTAATTCAAACATCTTCCCCACCAATCTTCATATGAATAAGTATCTTCACTACTGTGTTTCAACTATACTTTATATAATTACTTCTTAAACCACAACCCAAAGTAAAAGAGCCTTCCAGATTTCTCACCCAGAACTATCTATTTAGAGTATGAGTAAATGGTATACCTCTGACAACAAAGCTATGAGAGCCTTGAAAGAACTAGATAATTTTGCCAACTCATCTCCTTGCTTTTGGGCTTCATTCTCAGAAGAAACTTCAATTAAAATTTTAAGCCTGGATTTCAGCCAGTTGAGAGTCTCGCCCTTTGTGGTAACACCATTTCTGATCTCCTGGAATGAAAGAACAGTTTTGATGAGCAAAATACATTGTGAATCAAGAAAGGAATCAGCCTAAGAAAGTTCATACGGTGGAGGTAGGAGAACCAGGCATTTGTTCATCAGTAGAGTGCCTGCTGATTTCACTTTTCGTTTACATCTTTAAGGAAAGTCCCTAAGTGCTAGGAAAACAAAAAACAAAAAACAAAAAACTTTCCCAATGTCAAAACCTGATATGTAAAATCAAACCTCTCATAACAAAAAGCTAACTAGATGCTTAGTTCATAACTAGATGGTCATATATCTATAGATATTCCTTTGATCACAAATAAAAATGCCTCTAAAAGTACTATAGAAAAATATGTGATACCAAAATTGGAAATTATATATTATCTTATTTTCTGTTAGCTGGAAGGAACATGATATTTTTAGAAAAAGAAAAAAAAAAAGGTTGAAAGAGCCCTTTTTTTAATGAGCTGATTTCTTTTTGTTTGAAGAGTTTAGTTGTTGAATATTATTATGGATGCCCTAAAAATTGATTTTAACTTAACTGACTTAGATCTTATGCCTCATTTTGTGACTTTATTGAAATCAGTTCTCCAGATAGTAGGATGTGCAAATAGGAGCACAGCTCTAATCCAGGAAGGGAGGGCTTACTGGCCAGGACAAGGCCAGAAATATTCCGGGGCCTCGGCCCTTGTAAGGTCTGGGAACTGTGGGAGGGATGATCTGGGAAGCCTCTCCCTCCTACACACGCTCCGGGTGCATGAGGAAACCCAAGGTGCTGCTACAGAGGACCTTCCAGGGCACGTTCACACAAACAGAAAATGACTAGTTCCACAATCAAGTGATCTCTTCATTCTAAGATGTGAATTTTTTTTTTGGTACTATATAATAGCAACCAATGACACATATAGATATCCTCCTATAGGTAGAGCATGACATTATTGAGGATCTCTAGCATTTACAGGGATTATAAATTTACTAGAAAAACGTGGACCTCAGAAGATAGGAATAGAAAGGAAACACGTTCTCATTAACAGCTACTGTGTGACTTGCATGAGCTCAAAATGCTGAAAGATAAGGATTTTCACAATGGCGTGTGCCTATAAGACAGAATAGGCCATGCTAAGGAGGAGGAGGTTGCTGTGGTCATTCACAGGATGCGAACTGGGTTCAGGCTTGAGGTTCTGTCCGCTGGCTCCGTTTATCAGGCTGTACCCACGCTCACAGAGCTGATCCGATCCAGACTGAATGTGACATGAGAAATGATGCTTAGAGACCTTGCCCAATTCCCTCATTCTGTGAGCTGCCTTTTGAATAGCTGAAAATGTATAAAAACCTATAGTGTTCTTGTTTTTCCGCGACAATTCTTAAATCTCTGCTGTGTTATGTGCCCACGCATGCAATTTTCCTCTCAAGATTTCCCATTAGCTAAAGATGTATTAGAGGTACCCCTGAGTATGACTAAGTCTCAAAGCTAACAGCAATTCAATAGAAAATCCTCCATACTTCTTCTCTACAGTAACATGAGGAGACTTCTTTTTAAGACAGTTTTCGAGAACTTAATTTTTTTACAGAAAGAAAAAAAATATATCATTTGTCTACCATTAATTTTCTTATTAGTGAAAATTTTCCAGTCACAAAATATGGCCCAGAACTAACCTCTACGGCATGTTTAATCTCTCCATGGTTGGCGGTATCGATGGGCTCATTCTTAAACCCTTTCAATTGTGTCTCCTTTGCAGATATCCAAGATGAGAACTCAGAAATTCTGAAATAACACAAGTATCTTCTTATTAAAGGGAGAAAATATCCCAGTGGTTAAAATACATTTTCTCTTTTGACTTTATTCATGGAAGTTTAATGAAGTTTAGCAAGTCAAGTAACAAATTTTCTAGGAGCTGTTCCTTTACCATGAAGCTCGGGGCAGGGGTGCCTCTGGGCACTTTTCACATAGGAGGAAAGAGAAGGCAGAGTAGATGGAGTTCAGCTAAGGAAACCGATGTGTCCCAGGGCCTGAGCACGTGGAGGAAGGAAGCACCTGAGGTCTGGCCTCTTCTGTCTCCAGCAGATGGAGACAGAAACCCAGAGGCAGAGGCCCCCCTCTAGTACTATGAGGGAACCGGGGAGCAAGGAACTGCAAATTCGCTTCAAAGAGATAACATCTGGGTCACTCACAAATAAAGTGCTTCACTCTGTTTCTGACTGACGCCCATTTTTATTAAATGAAGCATTTTTATATAAGAGCCTGGGCAAGATCGCACGATTTGATTTTCTTTATTGCTGAAGACAAAACATGCATCATTACTTGTTTTGCACTGATCTCGGAATTAACAGTATTAGGACAGGTCAGATCCGCCTCCAGAAAGAGTTCCACAACTACCTTCTAGTGTAGTCCTTCCACTTGTCCCGGTCTTCCACGAGCTTCTTGTAGGTGGCGTCAATGGCAGCTCTGAGCTCTTTGAGAGTCACGTGACAGGTTTCAGGTGTGTTCCTTACTGGGTCCCGGACGGGGAGTTTCAGACACAGTTCTTCAATAAGCTGTAACCTTTTCTCACAAAGATGATGAGGACCTTTGTCACTGAAGAAAATCTAATGAGCAATAAACATTTATATAATCCCTGTGAGGATCCACACAGTACTTTCCTAGTTTCATAGAAGATTCCCATTTAGTCTACTTGTATCAAGTAATTAAGCTATTTCGTGTTTTCAGACCCAAACCAAAGTACCGGCTGTATCCTTTAGGTGACAATGTGACTTGGCGTGCCCGCGCGTGGGGTGTGTGAGACGTACCCTGTGCTCCTTAATAATCTTTTCACTGCCTTCCTGGGGCACCAGCGTGGTCTCTCGATCCAGCTCAGTTCTGCATTCTTCTACAGAAGCTAGGAATCTATTCTTCTCCACATCAATCTTCAGATGAAGCAAATGATATGGGGCTTCTCCTTGAAGGTCCTACATCCCATAGGAATATTTTTAAAATATGATACCATTTCTGATTACACACATTTTCAACTGAAGTGGCAAAAACCATAAAATATTCCCTTGGGGTCCGATGTGATTTAATCACTATCGTCTGCACCTGGCCATTGTGCTTTGTACACTTCCAAGTAAGGGTTGGGACCGTAATGAATACCTTCTGCCTGGGGGGCACATGTTTCACAGGGATCATTCTATTTAATTTTTACAACAGCCTCACACAATATTAATATTCCTATTTTACAGGTCAGACCACTGAGGCTCAGGGGTAAGTAGAAAAGCTAGATTTGAATCTAAATTTAAATCATGCCCTGAGTCCCCCCAGCATATGTCTTTTTTAATTCTGTCAATGACCCTGTGAGATAGGAAGAACCTATATTACACTCACTACACAAAAGGCGAAGATAAGAAAACTTTTTTTAGTAAAAATGCCAGGGTGAAACAGCCCACACCTGTGACTACCTGCCATGTCTCTTTCCTTAGAGCATTCCTCAAGTAAGCACGCAAGCAACATGAAATGTTTTATGTTCTTTCTGACATAAGAATAAGCTATATGATTACCTTCAGGCTTACAATTATTAGTTTTAGCTAACTTGTATCCTATGGTATTTATAAATTTTTTTAATGTTTATTTATTTTTGAGAGACAGAGCACAAGCAGGGGAGGGGCACAGAGAGAGGGGAACACAGAATCCGAAGCAGGCTCCAGGCTCCGAGCTGTCAGCACAGAGCCTGATGTGGGGCTTGAACCCACGGATCTTGAGATCATGACCTGAAGTGAAGTCGGACACTTAACTGACTGAGCCGCCCAGGTACCCCTATCCTATGATATTTAAAAGGTTACTTTTAAAATAAAATACTAAGATAACTGATGAGAAAGATGATCTAGGGCTATGGAAAGACTGGACCAGATTATATCCTAGAGAGCTTAATGTTGTGAATGTCTGTGTGTAGAAAATAAATACAGCTTTCATTTAGAATCTCTATTCTATAATACATTTATGATATTTTAAGTTTTAAAGACATATTAGAAAACTTGGGTTTAAGGATTTTTTAATTTTCAAATTTAGCAAGTAAAACATTATGTCCTTAACTGAGTTTTTCCTATGCATAGAGCTGATTTTATAGCCTATGTTACTGAGATGGAGAAAACAAAAAAATCCAGAGATTCACAAAACCTGATGGAAAGTGTTTTGGTTGCCTATCTTTCAGACCCCGTGACTTCTTCATATAACACACATGAAGTTCGCCACTCCCTGTGACCTCGTGATAGCACTGGTCAACCTGTTGCTACAGTAGGTTTTCTCCAGGCTGGGGAAGACAGCCTTCAATTCTGAAATCAACTTCCATGTGATGAGTCCAGTGTGGGGCACTCAGGTTAGACACGCCAAGTGGATCCCTACATCCCCAACTTCTGTGCTTTCTCTCCTGCTCTCTCTCTCTTCCAGTTCCTGTTACTCCTCCCTCCCATGTACCCCAGGCCCCTGCTTCTTCTTTAAAATCTGAGCTCAAAGCTAGTTACTTGATTCACTCCTTTCCACTCCCCAAGTAGGCCCACTTCTCTCTACAAAAGCTTTCATATGTATTACTTACACTTTTGGGGACTTATTATATATTGTACTTTCATTATCTGCAACTAATGATCTTCCCCACTGGACTCGAAGCTCTTTGGGGAAATGGATCATGCTATGTTCATTGCTGAGTCCTTAACTAATAAATGTTCATATTTACATTTCTGAGGTCGTAACAATCTAAACCAGATGGTAAAAGCCTTGAAAACAGCGAAATGTTATTATAGTATCTCTAACATAATTTATTTAAGTGGGTTTACTGATGTTGCTGAATAAGTTAAATGCCCTTGTCATTCCTATCCCCAAACCTACGCAGGAAAAGAAAAAGAGTGCTCTTAAGTAATATGATAAAATTGATACTACTAAAAAAATGAGAAAAACAAAATTCTCTCATACTTTATCATGCTTTATTCAAGTTCAGTTTTTTCAGTGGGAGAAGTAACTATGGTGACCTTCCATGACTTTCTACATTTCTCTTACAATCGAACCTTAATCCCCTCATGCTCTGTCCCATCATGCATGATACGTACTTATGTCCGTGCGTCCATTATGTCCTGACTCACCTTCCACTGTTTATGGAGCTTTCTAACAGCTTCCTGCAGGCCCTGCTGTTCCTGCTCAGGGAGGATGTCAGTGAGCTCGTCGCAAGCTTTCAGGAAAGCATTGAGCACTCTCTGATCCAGCTGACTGAAAAATTCCTGGCGTGGAGGGGGAGGGGGTTACGAGTGTCAGACAGAATAAAAGGCAGCATCTACACACCATACAGTCAGGCAGTCACGCCTCAACTCAAAACGAGCCCGTTAGCCAGCCAGTGCCCTCTTTAAACCTTGCTGGCAACTATGATTTTTTTTTTTTTTTTTAAGGAATGAACTATAATTATCTATAGTTATGAGTCAGAAGCCACCACATCTGAAATTCAACTAGTACTTTTCATTTTTTAGAAAGAAATATCTTTGCAGTTTTCAAATTTGGTAGAATATTCTGGAAGGCCAAGGGGCCAAAAACCTTGATTCCCTATAATAGAGTTTTCATTCCTCTCTGGTAAAGTCAGAAGCAGAACTGAAACTAGTGTTTAGCCTTGCAATTCCTCATACCCTAGCTGCAATGTGTCTCAGGCCCTGCTGGTTCATTATGAGCCATTTCCATCCACATCCAGGCGAATACACACGACCCCACAGGCTACGGACAGAACTGTGCCCACCGACGTCTGCCAAATTCCTATGTTGAATCCCTAACCCCCAGTGTAATGAAATTTGGAGATGAGGCCTATGGGGTGATGAGATGAGGTCATGAGGGTGGGTCCCTCATGATGGAATTAGTGCCCTTATAAGAAGAGACATCAAAGATCTTGCTCCCTATTTATCTCCATCTTACGAGAAGAAAGTGAGAATGACCATCTACAAGCCAGGAAGAGAGTCCTCACCAAACCCAAACTGTGAGAAAATAAGTGCCCATTGCTTAAGCACCCAGTGCATGCATAAATATATGGCACACCATGCAGATAAATACAACACGTGTGCACATCGACGCATGACCAAGTCTCACACAGACTCAGGAGTATGTCCGCGGAGATATTTTGAAACAACAGTGGTTCAAACCAGAAAGTGCCACACGGCACCACGCGTCTAAACTGAAGGAGATGCTGGCTGGTCACCGACATCACAGTCAGCTGCGTCACAAATATATTGCAGTCATCATGCGGTAGTGTGGTTCATACAAATATCCACTGGAATTTCAGGGAAAATAACTCAAAGTACATGTTCTCAGAGGGGCCATCATCTCCACTTGGCGTTGATCACTAACATTTTTAGTACTGAAATGATTTAAATGAGTATGATTAACAGGAAGATGGCTTCACGATAGGACAAGCTGTGGATCAGCTACCAAACTTCAAGGCACGTGGTGTTCATACTACAATATGGAGGATTCATGAAATGAGCACAGAGACTTAGCCATCCACCTAAAATTATCTCTTAAAAAGAGTTATGTTGGTTACGTAAAAATTTCTCACCTAACAATGAATAGTCATTTGGAGAGCCTGAATTCTATATCCTATAACTCTCTACTCCCTCAGGGACTTAGGAATGGCCAATTATAATGCTGCTCATCAGTTGCCCTTGAAGTTCTTTTTGCTGCTGCCCTTTTCTTTAGATCTCATAACCTAAAATGTTTCTGCCTCCCTAACTCACCTCTTCTTCCCTGTTCTCCTCAAACACTCAGTATTAGATCGGAGCACACTTTTTACTTTTCACCCAAGACCACTTGTCCGTGTCCTCAGCTCAAGTGCCCCATGAAGGATAAACTCACTGTATGTTTCTTCAGGAGGTCTTCTGGGTTCCCCTTTTCCTCCAGGCCCTCCTGAGCGATCCGTAGCACCTTCTCCAACTCTGCTCGAGACTCTTCAAATTTCTTCATCAAGCGACTATTGGTTTCCACATGTTTCTTCCAGTCTCCAATTTTCTTCACCATATTCTTGATTTAAAAAATAATCATAATGTGATGCTGCTTCTGGATTACTGAAAGCATCATTTTGTTAAAGAGTATTGTTTCTTTAAAAATAAAAAAACACTTGGAAGGAATACATTTCATTATGAGAGTAATCAACTCCTTTTTAACATTGATGAATATTAAGAAAACAAGTAAAATGATTGGTTCCAAACCTCAGTAGGCAAGATATTTAGCAAGAGTGGAAGCATGACACGTGATGGTTAGATGTCCTCATTCCTTGTATTTTTCCCTGGCTCGTGTCTCTATAGCACGGAGAGAGCTTACCTGGAAAGCACCGTGGGCATCTGCAATCTGTCTGTGCAGCTTCGTCTGATCAAAATGCTTTAACACACTGCTCAAGGTCACGAACTTTTGAACATTTTGACTGCCTTTCTCAATCTGCGTCATGGTTTTCTTACAGCTCTCTTGACAAGCTGACAGTTCCTACAGGGAAAGGAAACCCACAACAATAGTACTTAAAACAGTGAGAAAAAGAAGGAAAGAGAGGAACCATTACAAAACAATAAGAACAACATTATATAGCTTTTAGGCTTTTAGTCAGCTATAAGTAAAATCAAAAGTACAGAGAAGTGTTTCTTTTCAGAAGAGCTCAATTTGAAGCAATCACCGAAGTCAGTGCTTTTTATATAAGGCATTTAAATGTCACATTGAGCTTTTCAAGATTTTTTTATGTATTTCATGCCTGTGCTATTACCATTAAGAAAATGAAAGGGCATCAAAGTTGTTATTTCTCTAGTGCCTGCTTTGTCCATCCAGCTCACAGGCCCTTGGTTTACTGAGAGAACAATCACAAAATTAATCTACATATTAGGTTTTAATCTGACTAAATAAATTTAACACCCATGCACATTATACTTTACTGAAAGAGCTGCAGCATATTACATACCATTTGTGTATCCCAAAAGGCACATTTGAATTCCTAAGGTTCACAAGCTGTCAGTCGACCTTTCATTAACAAAATGAGGGACCCCAGACCCTAACCACAAAAGGCAACAGCCTGGTGGGTGTGGGAGGACATGTAGGTGTCACACAGTCACCGGATGAGAAGCCATGGTGACCCAGGGCTTTCCACCTCTGCTTCGTAACCTGGCATCATAGTGGTTTCTACAGTTGATAGATGCATGGAAATTAGCCCAGTCAAAGGCCAACAGTCACTTTTTGACTTGAAGCCGCCACACTATTTGCATTTTGACATCCTCGACTGCTTTGGAAAAGTATTTCAAACTGCTCATTTGGATACCGGTTTTGGGAATCTAGATACAAATATTAAGACCAAGGGTTTTGTTTTGTTTTGGCAAAATGGAATAAGGACACACTTCTTCCTTTCGAAGATTTAGGAGGTCAGAGAGTAACATATGTTAACAAAGATATTATTAAATATTATTAGTATTATTATTACTAAAATATCAAATGTTATTTTAATTGTGGAAGGATTCTTTGGTGGCAATGTATAGTGATTTGAGAATGTGAGACATGGCAACCTGACTCAAAGTGAGAGACAATCTTTATCCAATAGGATGAGAGCCCACTAGAACAGGGTTTGGTGGTATAATCATCATGGCTCTATTATCAATAATAATAATAATAATAATAATAATAATAACTAGTTATAGAGTACGTATTATGTGCCACTGTGTGCTAAGTACATTATAGAATATCTAATGTAGTCTTCACAATAAGCTCTCAACTAGGTATTATTACCTGCATTTTAAGCATAAAAGCTAATCAAGGCTTTGTAATTTGTTACATCAGATCTATGATCCGAATATCTATATGACACTTCAGATACTCTTGGCTCTTTCTACTAAGTGATGCTGCCTTCCTTCCAGGAATCTTTTTCAATGAAGGCAGTGGCAAACCTTTTGCCCGTTAAGTTTCACCCTCCTCTGATGGATGGGGTCATTTGTAATAAACCACCTAAACAAGTCCATTAACTTCAAGAGAGGGAAGCTGTTCTGCAGAGAGATCTGCTTACTAAAACTGAGACAAAGAAAAATAATTATCACTCCAAACACATTCCCAGAACTTTATGATTGTATAATCTCAGAGGCAAAGAAAACCTTAAGACACAGATTATAGGGACACCTGGGTGCCTCAGTCGGTTAAGCGTCCTATTTCAGCTCAGGTCGTGATCTCACAGTTTGTGAGTTCAAGCCCCGCATCAGGCTCTGGGCTGAAAGCTCAGCGCCTGGAACCTGCTTCGGATTCTGTGACCCCCTCTCTCTCTGTCTCTTCCCTTCTTATATTCTGTCGCCCTCTCTCAAAAATAAATGAGCATTAAAAAAAAAAAAAGATTTAAAAAAGACATAGATTATAGACACTGGATAGAAATAGAATGCAACTGTTTACTTTTATATATATCTAAATACATACAATTTTTAATTTGGTTATAAAAATTTTATCTCTATGTAAATTTACATAGATAGATATTTTATTTTATCTTTAGTGGACAGGGTTTTCATCTTTGGACAAGATGTGTATTTTTGTTTTGAGTTGCCAGCGCTACTCTAGAAAAATGTCTCCTGCCCTAACTGAATTCCTGCCACTGTGGGCACCACCTCAGTCCCACTAAACGCCTTTTAAAAATAACCATGTCTCCTCACGGGGACTTTCCCTTACCTGATGTTTCTGTTTAAAAAGGGCACTGGATTGTGCTTCACGCTCGAGAACTGCCATAATTTCATGGATTTTCGCAAGCGAGTCATAAAAGAATGTCATCTGCTTTTCCAGTTCTTCCAATGGGATCAACAGCTGCTGAGACTCATAAAGGAGTGGAGGGCAACATTCTTTGACCTTTAAAAAGACAAAAACAAAAATTCCGTCAAACGCCGCTAAGTACCACAAGCTCAGGGCACTGTTCACACCTCTGAGAACATTTTCTTCAGCGAAGCCGTCATTCGGTGCTTGCAGATCTCCAAAGACTCTTATTTAATGATACTTCCTTTTACTGTTACATTTTGATATAAAAACACAGTACTACTCAATCACTGAGACAAATAAATGCCACAGAATTTTCCCAGGAAGATTCATCTAAAGGGTCCATCTGGATGGCACCCTCCCATCTAAACGAGGCTGTTAGTGAGCCAGATGGCATCGAATTCTCCCTCATAAACTGTGCAACTGATCTTCATTTTGGCCTCAAAACCTGACCTGAGATCGTTACGAATGACATTATCTAGACTGACTTTCCAACTTTATTTTCAAGGTCTCTACAACTTGAACCCTAAACTCCAGACAGACCTGTAACTTTGCTGACTCATTCTTCCCAGACAGGCCTTGTGCTTCCCTAACTCCCCCAGCAACATGTGTCACGACCCTCTGCCAATCATCTTACCCACCCCAAGCTCACAAGTCATGTACCAGTTTATTTACAAAGGTTCCCAAGCCAGGGGATGTCTCCCTACTCTGAACTGACCCAGCCTCATCTGTCACTTGTCTCTTAAAAAATGCTGTTATTTTATACCCTTGTATTACTTTTTTTTTTTTTTTTTTTTTTTTTTTTTTTTTTTTTTGAGAGAAAGAGAGTGTGCAAGCAGGGGAGAGAGAATCCCAAGCAAGCTCAATGCTCAGCGCAGAGCCCAACACGGGGTTCCATCCCATGACCCTGGGATCATGACCTGAGCCAAACTCAAGAGTCGGATCCTCAACCACTGAGACACCCAGGTGCCCCTACACTTGTATTAATATCAGCTTGATCTTCACGATGAGGCCATACGTTCCTGGAGATCAAGAGATCCATAAAGTTTCTGTCTTAACACCTTCATGTTGGAATGCAGGATCAAGTAGTTCTCTAAGAACTTCCTGTCCCCACTCATTTTACTTAGAATTGCTCCCAAAATATTATTCATGCTTTTGGGAACCAACGAAAGGAAATGGAATACTTGTTAATAGACCATTCTCTTTTTTCTTAAATTATGAATATTCTCATGCTCTCGGATACACTGCCTAAAGGGTAAACTCACCAAAAGAAAGCTACTGATCTACTGCAACACGGCTTTTCTAAAATGATTCTGAACAAAAGAGAATCTGCTAACACGTATAAAAATCAGTTGGTTTCTGGGTGCCTAGGTGGCTCAGTTGGTTAGGTATCTGACTCTTGATTTTGGCTGAGGTCACGATATCACGGTTTGTAAGACAGAGCCCCATGTTGGGCTTAGCACAGAGCCTACTTGGGATTCTCTCTCTCCCCTGCTCATGTTCTCTCTCTCTCTCTCTCTCTGTCTCTCTCTCTCAGAATAAGTAAATAAACATCAAAATAAGTAAAAATAAATTAAAAGTCAGTGTGCTTTATAAATCTTTCCTAGATACAGCTGAAAACTTACTAAGATGCTACAACTGAAGCAGTAGCTTAAAAAAGCAGGGGGGCGCCTGGGTGGCGCAGTTGGTTAAGTCGTGACTGACTTCAGCCAGGTCACGATCTCGCGGTCCGGGAGTTCAAGCCCCGCGTCAGGCTCTGGGCTGATGGCTCAGAGCCTGGAGCCTGTTTCCGATTCTGTGTCTCCCTCTCTCTCTGCCCCTCCCCTGTTCATGCTCTGTCTCTCTCTGTCCCAAAAATAAATAAACGTTGAAAAAAAAAATTAAAAAAAAAAAAAAAAGCAGAATGACTTAGATGTGCTCAAAGGTGGGATCTGCTTTCTCACAGGTCACCTTAAATCATTAAACTTGGCCTCGGCTAAGATGTGCAAGCCCAAGATATGGCTCTGAAAGCTGTTTGAAGGTTATCAAATCAGTAACGTTGACTTTGAATTGTACCCAATCTTTACAGATAACATTTAACTTGAATGTTAAAAATAAAAAGAATTACAAATTAACATTCTAATATATGTCAGTTTGGCAAATGAAGTGTTCTCTTTTTTTCAATACCATGATTCTTCCTTTTTCCACTTATCTCATTTATTCCTCTTTTCATTAATTGCCCACTACTGACTTCATGTGGGTTATTCTCCTTCTGCTTGTTCTCTCCTAAATTACAGGTTTTTCTGCTGTCTTTTCCTCTGTTTCTCAATTGTTCATTACAAAATTTTCCTCTTCATTTATACTACCTCCCACCTCCTATTAAAAATTAATTACTGAAATGCAAACAATACCATCTGCATAAAACTCAACTTCAGGTAGATAAGAAATCCCAATGGAACCTTCCAAAGCTCTTAAGGAAAATCCCCCAATAGAACAGAAAAGTCTTATGGCTGGTGTTTAGTGTTCACTGGGTTCCCTGTACACAGGTGGCACAAATGTATATATCTTAAGTCTAAGATGAGCTCCATGAGCTGAAGAGAGCAGAATTTCCACGTTCCAGGCTATTCACACAGAAAATAGCATAAATACTCTTAGAACAGTCAAATAAACCTCAATAAAAAGGACATTTGGGAACTCTTTCTCATTTAAATGTATGATCTCTTCCTCTTCCTTCCTCTTCCTTATCTCCCCCCTTGTTGGATGACATTTCACTGACCCCTTATTTCTCCAGAAGAGACCAATCGATTTTATTAAAATAAACCTCCTAGTACTTCCAAATTAACAGAGGTATTACTTGACATCAGCTCCATAGTTTCATTTGTTAAACTTCATGACCAAGTTCCTAAATGGCAAAGTTACTAAATCAAGAATCCCGGGGCACCTGGGTGGCGCAGTCGGTTAAGTGTCCGACTTCAGCCAGGTCACGATCTCGCGGTCCGTGAGTTCGAGCCCCGCGTCGGGCTCTGGGCTGATGGCTCGGAGCCTGGGGCCTGTTTCCGATTCTGTGTCTCCCTCTCTCTCTCTGCCCCTCCCCCATTCATGCTCTGTCTCTCTCTGTCCCAAAAATAAATAAACGTTGAAAAAAAAAAAAAAAAAAAAAAAAAAAAAAAAAAAAAAAAGAATCCCAATAAACAACAAAAGGATGATCTCTTAACAGGTAAAGACTTTGCCCATGAGTGTGTTGGCCGGAGGAGGTATAGGCATGCGCAAGGCAGTGTTGGCCCCTCGCATTAACATATTTTCCCACCTTGGTTAGCCGTTCTTTGAGCCCAGACATGGTTGCAAACATTTCATTGGCTTCTTCTTGGGAGCTCTCCTTGGTAATGAGGTGTGCGGTCTTGGTAATCATCTTGTACTGAGCATCCATTACAGGCACCCGCTGCTCAATGTCCTGCAGGAGCCATTGAAACAGCTACATTACCACAACGTACATTTCCTTTTAATTTCAGAATTCTGCAGAAGGCTGAACAAAAATCAATTGTGTACTGTATGAAATCCTATACTTGTAAGAAGCTTTTGGAGATTCCAGTTATTGCTTTCCTTCTTTGCTAATATATTATATATTGGTAAGATCATATTAAAAATAGATAAAAGCTTTCCTTTAAAAGCAACCATAAATCCTTAAGTAAGCATCAAGTTTACACTTCCAAAATATATGTGTGAATGTAGTATGTAAACATCATAAATCAAGTAAATACATGTTAATTTGGGGCAATTCCTCTGACCTTAACAATTATACAACTTACCTTATCTTAAAAAAAGCAACACATGGTCATTGTAGACAATTTATGAATTAGAGATAATAAGAAAAAGACAACTGAAGTTACTTCCAGGCTTCTCACTCAGTGCTAACCAGAGCCAACATCCATCACTATATCATGAACATTTCCCCCTCTGTGTGCTTACACCCATTTTTTTATATTTACACAAAAAAAGGGGATATTGTTTTTTGCTTTTCCCAACAGTATATTAGAAAAGCTTTCCATGTCATTACATATTCTTCTACTACTTCATTTTTGAGAGCTGCAAGGTCCTCAAAATATGCAAATAGCACAATTCATTTAATAAATTTGTTAGAGTAGAGGCATTTATGTAGAGGTGTTGGATGTAGACGTTTCCTGTTTTCTCCTAGTCCTTTGTAATTTGGTTGTAAAAAAAAAATCTCTGAATTAAAAAAAAAAAACCTATTTTGAAGTTACTGTATGGTCAAAACATATCTTTAAAAAATCCAAACAGAGGGGTGTCTGGGTGGCTCAGTCAGTTGAGCTTCCGACTTCGGCTCAGGTCATGAGCTCACAGTTGGTGAGTCTGAACCCCACACTGGGTTCACAGTTGTCAGCGCTGAGCCGGCTTTGAACCTTCTGTCCCTCTCTCTCTCAGCCCCTCCCTCCTCATGCTCACTCACTTTCTCTCTCCCTCTCAAATAAATTAACCTTTAAAAAAATAGAGCATTAAAAAATTCAAATAAATTTTTTTATTTAAATGCAATCTTTAATTCTGAGGTGCAAATCAGGATATGCACACATGTCAAAAGGGTGCCAAGGAGACAGGAAAACTTTGCAACCATGTGAGTAACATGAATGATCTTTCGTTTCACAACAGAACAGGTTTTCACTTTGTTGTCCAGAAACCCCCTCACCTCCAAGTCTTGAATTAATAACTTGACATTAATAAAAGAGACTTCTAAGGGTTCAGAAAGTTTCTTATGGGCTTCAGTTGCAAAATCAGACAGGACAGTAATACAGTCTGCATACTCCTTCTTCATTCTGTCCATCTCATCAGCCCGAGCATACTGTTAAGGAAAGGGAGAAGCACAACACGGAAAATCAGTTAAGCCCGACCTCTGGGAGCCTGTAACCCTCACATTTACATACTTTCTAGAATTGTTATATGGTAAGAAAGACTGATTCCTGATTCTTATTTTAGATACACTTGAAGGAAGTCCAATTACTGTGAAAAAAAAAACTAGCACAGAAGTGAAGAATTATGATTTCAAACATGAGGCCCCATATGTCAATACAATCCTTAACCGAAGTATACATTTCTGTAATGTGTAAGTGGGAAAGAATAAAGGACCCAAAATAAACATAACAGTTCCAAACACATCTGCACTCTGCCTAAATAAGTCCATGCTGCAACAATAAAACAGCCTCTAAACGGACTGTTTATCAGCATGTTTGTAACACATGCATGTTCTAAGCATACATAGATTTGAAAGACATACTTGCTTGACTTCCATAAACAACTCCCTCCACCGTCCATTGAGCAATAGCAATTGCTGTTTAAGATCTCGGGAAACCATTTCATCACATGTTTCAATTAGAAAATTGCCAGCATCATTCATGGCAGCGTGCTGCTGTATCCAGTGAGGCAAGTTTCGAAAAAAATCCTAAACAATAAATGACGCACATTACTGTAAGCCACAAACCAAAACTCAACAAATGATACGGAAGTAACCAGACTATGTGAAATATCTTTGTTCTAAACTTGTGCAAATTTTAAGGTAAATCTTAGTTCTTTTTCCAAATGCAATTTTCAATAGAGAGGTTGAAAAATAGGAGCTAGAAATGCTGAGTGTCGTTTTATAAGAACGGCTTGGCCATATCTTTTGCTGAAGACAAAAACAAACAAACAAACAAACACGTAATGACCATTTTCTGTCATTTCTATTTTACACATCAAAAAATGAATTTTTGTTGTGTAAAGGACTTGTACAGTCTTCAGGCTGGTAAATACCAGTGCCAGAGTCATATAAAAGGTACAACATTTTAGACTAATGTATAGTTTTCTTTGTGGATTATAAATAAACCTTTGACCTATTACCTTTGATTTTAAAATCTGAATATCGTGCATGAAGATAATTAACAATCATGGATATAAACCATTGAAAACAATTTTTGAATTAAATATCTGGGCCAGGAACACTGAATACAGTAACATCCTTTTTTATTCGTTTAAAGTTACTCCCCTGACAATGAAACAGTCTTCTGCTGATTTCAAGTTAATACATGTGTGCTTGTACATACTTATACACATACACCACAGTATAAACCAAGAATACCAAAGAGAATTCAAAATCTATTTTATAAAACCATGTGTGGGAGGACTTCCCACATAAATAGATGAGAACACTTCTGTTTCTGGTGGTTATATTCCCTTGGATGAAATTAACACATATGACATCTACTAGGGCATTGTCAGTCTAATCAGAAAAGCCAAAATCTGTATGGGTATACAATTCTTGTCATCCTCAGCTACACAAGAATTTTTCATCTGTGTGAAATACAGAGTGGTAAACATTTAAAAACAATGCATCTACTCGCAAAACGCAATCACACAAGAACTGATCTTGGACAGTAAGCACTAATTCTAATGTATTTACTATACTTTTTTAATGGGAGCCTGGCATTTTAATATCTTGTACTTATAAATTAATTTTTCATGGGAAAATGCCAGATTCCCATTAAGAAGTACATAATAAATCCATTTTATGTGATATTTTAATGTAAGTGACATTAAAGCAAAACAGTAACTCTTGAACACACACATACACACCTGGAATCGAAGGAAAAAGATCATTCTTGCCCAGAATAAGACCTTTGAGGGTTGATAAAATGCAAAAAAGAATATCCAAAGAGACAAAAACGTGATGGCCCAGATGTTCAACTGGCATGTGTCATTATACAGAGTCAGTATTATGTTATCCTCTCGTCAATTAGGAAATCCACAGAGGTCAGAGCCTTTCAAGTATAGACTTTATAGTGAGTATAGCGACCTCTGTTGCCCACTGGGTTTGGGTGTCCTGCCATTGGTTCCTCCTCTTCTGAACGCAAAAGCAAAACACTGAACTGATCAGATAGGGAACTGTTTTAATATAACTCCTATAAAGCAATGCATTTCTTGGCCTAAAGGAATTTACTAACCTGAAGGCACAGTTTTTCAGGCAAGTCAAGATTCTTGAGTCAGACTTGCAAAGATATAACACTCTCTAGAGAACTATGCTGTGAGAGACTCATTTCTTTTTTTTTAAATTTTTTTTTTTCAACGTTTTTATTTATTTTTGGGACAGAGAGAGACAGAGCATGAACCGGGGAGGGGCAGAGAGAGAGGGAGACACAGAATCGGAAACAGGCTCCAGGCTCCGAGCCATCAGCCCAGAGCCTGACGCGGGGCTCGAACTCACGGACCGCGAGATCGTGACCTGGCTGAAGTCGGACGCTTAACCAACTGCGCCACCCAGGCGCCCCGAGAGACTCATTTCTAAGTTCGTGTGTACTCAGTTTCTTTTGTAGGAAGCGACATTACCTTTTTGGCATGCTCTGATTGATTTAGCATTTTCTCAGCATCCTCCAGCCAGGCCTGAAGACTAGCCACAGTATTGCCATATCGATCCCAGTTCGCGATGACTTCTTCCAGCATGCTTCTCACGCTCCTGACCTCTACTGAGAGGTTCCTCCACTGGGCTGTGGTTTCATTCATGAATTTCATCACATTCTCGGCTTCTTCCACTAGAACAGATCAACCAAAATAGAATCCTTACTTTTTATTCGAAATCTACCAAACCTTTTTTCTATGGTCTATATACTGGTTTGCACTTATAATTCTTCTTCAGATTATGAAGTTAACAGATGAAATGTTAGAATTTTACTCAGCAAATGCTGGGGATGTGTTATACCATATTCACAGCTTTTTACAAAGATTAGAGGTGATAATATATTTAAAATTTTTGATAAGTGGGATGCAATAAATGACATATATATTTGTTCACATTTTGTATGTACTCAAAGAGATGCTCACATATATAGTATTGATCACAAATGCTACAGTTCATTTTCGATTCAATATGACAGATATATTTACAAAATGAAGCCAACATATGTTAGTTACAATTTGTGTATCCACACTAACTTAAGTTTTCATTTACTTGATAATGATACTCAAGTTACTGTTTTTTTCACTTAATCCGCAGAACTGCAAATAGGTTAGAAAATCACAGTTTAGACACTGAACACTTCTTTTGCCCCTTCTCAGAAGACCACAGGTGCGTGACACACACACACACACACACACACACACACACACACACACACACACCCCATTATTACACAGGTTAGACAGGCATTGCACAAACTCAAGGGGACTGAATCCAATATGTGAATCCAATATGTGCTCTCCAGGCCAATGGCATGGTCATAAAAAGATCCTTCAGGGAAAAAACAAAAAATGATGTGATCACACAGAAACCTGTAGGTTCTAAATTCTACTGCGTTCAACATCGCAACAAATTCTGTCAGTGTTTTTTACCTGAACCATCAGCTTTGACGTACATCTCAGCTGTCTGTTTCAAGATCTGGTATGTCACTTCATATTGTTCAAAGAACTTGCTATTTTCTATAAAAGACTAGAAAGGGGTAATGGTTAGAAGATGGCAAATTCTAGGCATATGTAGAAATACTGAAGTCAGTTTCTTCAGGATACATATATGGATATTTTGCCCAAATTTACCAACCTCAACCTTTTTAAAAAATATATCAAATTAAATCAACTGCCATAAAATAACCTGATTATTCTGAGAATATAAACGGATTCCACACTTTTATTCTAACTCAGCACTATTGAGAAAATACTCTATTTCTTCTCCACCCAAGGGTTTGTTTTTAGAACAGACTGAAGTTTCTCCAGACAACCTGGGGCTAACATTTAGAAAGCACTAAATCTGGAAGAACATTTTAGTATCCAACTGTGTTTTAGCTGTGGGATTGTGTGGCTCTTTGGACATTAATTCTAGTGAAAGATGGCTCTGAGGAACTTAGATTATAAATAAATGGCACAGTGCACACTTTCCTCAAAACAGAAAGTACAAAAATGTTTACTAGTAGAAAAAATTTAAATAATCACATATCTCATCTACAATTACAAAAATTACTGGGGTGCCTGGGTGGCTCAGTTGGTTGAGCATCCAACTTTGGTTCAGGTCAAGATCTCATGGCTCGTGAGTTCAAGCCATGTGTTGGGCTCTGTGCTGACAGTTCAGAGCCTGGAGCCTGCTTCAGATTCTGTGTCTCTCTCTCTCTCTGGCCCTCCCTCCTGCTCTGTCTCTCTGTCTTTCAAAAATAAGTAAACATTAATTTTTTTAAAAATTACAGATAATATGTATCTATACCTGTATGTAATTTACATATTACATATTACTATTACTGTTACTATTACTAGAGTTATAGTAATTTACAAACTGACATGTAAAATTTAGAGCGCACAAGAAATCCTTAGGTAAATGTTATTGTGAACTCCAGGAAATATGAAATAGCTCCTGTTTCAAAGATTGGTCCTGCTATTATAAAGCCAAAAAATAATGCAATTATAGTTAACAACATATCACCAAAGGCTCTTTAATTTCTATTAAGTATAATTAGTTCCTCTGATTTGAATCCTCTAAAATACTTGATTAGTGTATTACAAAATGCAAATTAGCCTTTAAAAACCAGCTGAAGTCCAGTGTAATATGCCGATGAATGCTTAATATGGAGATGCAAAATGTTTGAGTGCAGATCTAAAACTTCACAAAAAATTTCACAGACATCCCTCAATTTCATTGATAAATGTTTATCATATTGCAAGATAATACTTAAAAGCATTACATACATAACACATTGCATAGCATTTTATGCTTATAAAATGTTTTATTTATGTATTAATTATTCTTCAGGAATAGAGTGAATAGAGAAAGCTCTGAGTTACTTGGAATGAAGGATTCCATGATGAATATTTACTTCAGTAACTTAATAGGCTGTATTATTTTTGTCTGAGAATGAAGTAAAACAATAGTTGTCTGGCTAATTAATTTTTCAGCCTTTTGTTCTACTTCATTAACCTTCCCTGTTCTCCAACTAGGGGAAGAGTAACTTACTGTAATTTAAATTTAGCATAATTTAACCAAATGAACATACCATAATTTGATCAAAAAAAGAAAGTTACAACTAATTTGTAAGACACTGTAGACCACTGAAGAGATAAATATATTTGGCAATGTTTAAAAAATAGTCTCCATTTATTTTTGGCTCAAATTTCAAGAAGCTAATGGAAAAACAATTGTTCTAAGTGTCAGAAGAATGGGAAATTGCACCTGTCTGGACAGAAAGACTTAATTAAATATGCCTTTCCTAGAGTTGTTTACAAATTAATTAAGAATGAACACGGGAACAAATACAGAGTAAATCCATTTAGTAACATGAATTATTTTATCTATTAATATCATTTTGGTAGGAGGACTGCTAAATCTCCTTTTCACCAGGAGCTATCTGGACAGTCTCTCAGAAGGGTGTAAACACAAAAGTATACTTAAAATAATAATGGGATTAATTTATTTCTTTCAAAATAAGGCTTACTTTTTGGATATCAAGTTCAACAAATAAGCCATGTTATTGTTGATAGCACTTCAAGAAAATTAAGATACCTCTTTATCCCACTAAATTCAAAGTATTAGTGGAAGATACTAAACTTCTACTCTTCTACTTAGTGGAAGATCAATGTAGAGATAATAAATAAGTTTCACTTATTGATTTCACTTGAATGGAGCTGAACCAGGTAATTTAATATTTTAAAAATCATCTTTGAGAAGAGGTTTTAACAGAATCGCCTACTTACATTGATAAAATAATTACAAATAATAAAAAAATTCACATTACTTATGTTGCATTCATATAGGCCACAATTCTAAGAGTTCTTCTTTTATGAAAAAGAATGATCTTCTTTCTTCCATAGTAAAACTGAAGCATGTGTTAACAAACATGGCCATGTCAAGAACAATTCTGACAGCAAAAACCAAAACAATTATCTCCTGACTTATATTACAGTAGGTAATCTCTTATGAATAGTATGTGGCCTAGATTTAATTAGCAAGCATTCATGAAATATTTTCCAAGAATTTCTTTAGCTCACAACAGCTGCATACCTGAGCACCTAGTACAAGAAGTAAGTAGGAAGCACATTTTTTTGATTCTCTAACCCTTTAAAAAATGATGTATTTTTTTGCATATGAATAAGATGAATTGAGAATTCAAACTAAGGAAGAGATAATTATGGAACCTTTACATCCTGCATATTACTTTGGTTATTAGATGATGTAGCAGCATATGGCTCATTACAATAAATTTTTTTAGAAACCAAGGGAAGGACTGGATTTAAGAACTTGATTTTATTATTTTGTTTGAAAGTCTTCACTCTTTGAAATGGTCCGTTCTAAAGAAAATTATTTTCTCACAAATTCCAAAGGGATAAGAGAAGCTCTAAGGGGTGTGAGATGAAAGGAAAACAATATGTGTCCATCTTTGTTTCTTACAAAAGCCCCTATTACCCCATTATTATTATTATTATTATTATTATTATTATTACTAAAAATTTGGGAAAAACTAAGTCTCCTAGAAATTAAGTTATTTATAAAGTCACATGGGTAGTAAGTAGCTGAACCATGATTCAACACATTCCCATGTAACATCCATTTAGTAACATGAATTATTTTATCTATTAATATCATGTCACAATCTCTCCTACCTCACCACCCCCTGCCCCAATACCATGCTGCCTATAACATAAATAATAACAACTCTCACTATCAGGCTATAGTATATTAGCATAAAATATTGTCAGATATGAGCTAACATTAAATGGTACTAATATTTACATGAGCTATACTCCTTAGTTCACTAAGCTACAGGAGATCATGTTAATTATTTGGTGTTTTAAGTTCAAAAAAAAAAAAACTTTTCACAGCCAATTTTGTTAGATTAGTAAAAAGTTCAGTACTTAAGCATGGCTTTTGGTTCGGGAAGATGTGATTTCAAATCCTGATTCTACTTCTTACCAACTGTGCCACCTAAAACATGTGGGTTGAGCATTGAAAGGCTTGATTCCCTCAGTGAAACCATGTGAAAATGCCACTGGGGTTGTCACTGGGTTAGAAGATCACACATGGAGGACACTGGGCTCATGGACAACACACAACATCCCAGTTATTAAAACTATTAAACAAAAAAATACTTTAAGGCCCTTTTCAGAAAAGATGGGTTAGCCATAAATAGGTATTTTTCACTACGGAATAAGAATATGCAGAAATGGTCATAAAAATGTCACATGTGTAGCATAATTATCAAGTTTGCCAATTATTTTAAGTTGTGTAGCAGTTTAAATCTAGCAGCTTAGTGAACTTCTCTTCATGGAGAAAACAGAAGTACTGTTTTTCTTTAATTAATATTTATGTAAGTTTTATCATTGTAACAACTCTCTACTTACATATCTTTTATCTGAGAAGTTCAAAGAGAATTACTAACATCATTGTATTAGAACATTAACCTGGTGGAACAGCCCCATTAAGCATTTCAGTCTGATTGGCTGTCCTTAAATAGCTAGAACAAAGACAGATCTGCATAATTACCTACTGAGCTCAGAGTGTATCATTTGACATGACTAAATCCAAAAATATAAATGCATGTCTGTAATTTAATATTTAAAAGACTAACGTAATTGCTTGAAATTAAAAAATAAGATTTTTCATGACTTTCCATAACAATTAAATATGAATAAGGGAAACATACCATATAACAGATTTCACATTTTTTGACAAATGTTTCCAAGACAATTATAGTAAACCTACAGGAAGACTTTACTGTAAACCTATTTATTTTCCAAATGCATCTTGTTCAGTAATCACTTTAAAAATGTAATCAAAATATAGCAAAATACATTCTGGTTCTAGAATGCTTCAGCAAAGATATGGTTTTAATCAACATTCAATCATTCCAGTTACAAAGCTCACTAGTCAGGTTAGAAATGGATTTGTATTTTAAACTTATTAATTTATCAGTTTGAATTTGTGATTAAACACAAGTGGAAAAGTACAGGACTGAGATGCCTTATGAATATAAACTTTGAAAACAAGTTTGTATTGCTAATAAATTTGGAGGGGGTATGTTTAGCTAACAGAAATAAATTACCTTTAATAAATAACTCTCTAATTACATGTAATGAAAACTGATAGAACAACCTAATTTCTTCATTAATGCAAGGCTACTATTCCATGTAAATATAGAATTATTTATACTGACAGCCCAAAATATAAGATAGTCTTTAAAAATTAAATTGGTACAGAGATTCACAGACAGAATTTTACTTTTCCTGAATGCACACAAGAAGCAATGAAACTCAGAGACGTGCTGGACCTAATAACCTAAAAACTAGACAGTCCCCTTTTGGATAACAGAATTTTCTGAACTACTAATGATTCTTTCTTAGAGACGTGAGGATGATCTTTAAGTATTTTAATTCAGTTTCAATAGTGAGCTCACAATCAAAGTCATGGGTATGCAATGCAAAAACTTTTTTTTTTTTTTTTTTTTTTTTTTTTTTTTTTTTTTTAAGCAATAAAGCCAGTCACAATGGTTCGGTATGATTCACAAAGCTAAGTCTTTCTGTATTTCCAAAGAATATAAGTGTATATTTCAGGTTACCATGAAAAGCTTACTAACTTCTATCAAACCCATTTAACATACTGGTACCTTCATGTTTAAATTCAAGATAAAAATGATAACGTCAAAGCAACCGATAGGTATTAAATGCTAAATCCACGTGTCCTCTGATTTCTTTGTCAAAGCACCAGACAGACTTACGATGTAGTTCTGTAGAAGGAGCTCCACGGACTCTCTCCTCCCATACTTGATGATCCAAGATTTCAGCTTTGACTCTGCAAGAACCAGCAGTGAGAGCAGACGGTACTTTAATTCTAGAAATTCCATTTTCATTAAGTGTAGCTCTGATGTGGAGGAAACAAAATGAAACCTAGAAATAAAACACCGAGAATTTACAGAATGTAAGTAACTAATAGTAACAGAGCAGTGCTTATTTAACCTGTTACACGTCAGTGCTAAATATAATACAAGCACAAAGTCTTCTAAACTCTGGCTGATCAATCACTATCAGGGGCTCTGATTCCTTTTCTAGCTCTGGATTTAAAGGCAAATCGTGATTGATTGAAGTATTTAATTTAGTTCTTTCCCCTGCCAAGACAACTCTCATCTGTTTCTTTTATAAGCTGTTTTTGCAATATTACATAATGTTCCTCACAGTGCTGAATAAAAATACAGCCTCTGAAGAAACCATTTCTGTGATTTCCAGGCTGTGGGGATATTCAGGTTTACTCTCTGCAAATAATAACATATTAGGATGTTAGCATTCTTAGCATGTTATGGGAGCTCAATTTTTATGTACTAAATGTAAGCACCTCTGTTTAAAAAAAAAACCAACAGTCAATTCATTGAAAAGAAAAGAAATGGAAGAAACATCCACCGAGTTTTTAAAAAAAGACACTTCATTTCAAACCAGCCATTCTCTTACCTCTCGGCCATGTCCTCTAATTGATCAGGTGGTACCGGGATCCCGTTAACAGATCTGGTCCGGTAGATTTCATGGAATGCTCTTTTGTGGGCATCTGTGTTTTGAAGCAGATCCTAAGACACGATTTAAAAAAAAAAATAAAAAATGAGAAAACATGTTCACAGGAGGCTAGGAAGCATAATTTTCAGCTTGTACCGATGAGTCAATGTACTCAACAATTTGATCGTGCTGCTCCATCCAGATGTGGCTTGGTGCCTTTCATAGGCTTTTTACCTTGTACAGGAGCCCCGGTGCTTATTCCTAAGACCTGTGCTAGAGCTGTATCTAATAATTATGGCATCTTTTAAACACACACGACAGTTGCAGAGCAATGTATTCAGACATTTTAAAGGCACATGGTCCAAAGGAAAATGTAGTTGCTGCTATAAACAATGATGTGTTAGGATTTTTCTCTTTCCTTGATTTTGAATAAACTGGTTTTTAGAAGCTTAAAACTAAGCAAGACTAGTTTAACCCTTAGTTTTTAGAAGCTTAACACTAAGCACAACTAGTTTAACCCTTTAATGGTTTTATATATAAATATACATATATATATGTACACACATATATATATCACTATTTTTATTTTACTTCTAACACATGCAGACTATTATAAAGTGAAATTTGCTTGCCATCTAAAGTAAGTCATATATCACGATATTATTAAATATTCTTATGGTTAGAAGATTTCAAACAAGCACAGGGAATGTCCTATAGAAATCAGACTGGAAAGATCAAATGTGATGTTTATAAATATTCTTTATAGGCTGTATAGAACTACACAAATTTTAATATTTTATTTCTATTTGTTTTCTGAGTTTTTCATTGTTGGTAGGCTTATTCATATAAAGACTTCACAGGTGTTTCACAATTCCTAGCCAATTTCTCATATAGAAGCAAAGAGAGATGAAAGATGGTTCATGCCATATTCTCTAGAGTTTAGTTTGTTTCTCAATAACAGAATAAACACCCAGCAGTTTGTCACTCAATGAATAGTAAGACCCATTAGCCCATCAGGATAATACATTAAAATTAGCATTTAGTTTAACCCACATGAAGATTTTGTGGATTAATTGGACAAAATAGAAGCAATAAAAAGCATAAAGCCACAAGTAAGAGAGACATTTGATGGAAGGGGGAAAAAATGAAGGCACTCATATATAAATTAAAATGTTAAAGTCATATGTATTTGTTCACATAAAGGTCATATGTGTTTGTGCCTTTTAATTTGAGGGACATTAGCTTTTGCATTGTAGAAAAATCCAAGGGAAAACTATTTCTATCCTGGTAAATTTTGTTATTATAATATATTGATCTGCTTGGAATTGTAGGTAACTGCTCAGATATTCACAAGTTTCTCAAGCCCAGAGGGAGGGCATTCTGTGCAGGAGCTGATCACAGGGGACAGAAGACTGTCTTAGAGCAACTAATGGCTATGAGTATTTCAGTCACTCTTTTCTTCCTTTATAACCTCCTGGCACATTTCTATGGCTTATGATCTTCGCTGAGACCCACTCAAGTGAGTGCAGAGCAAATTTAGACCCATCACCACGCCCAGCTCCGATTTATTCTATGTGACTATATGTTAATGTGTAAGTAGGGGTCTCTGACTATATTGGAATACCCATATGTCCAGTTGCCTTCTAAGAAGTCTTCCTTATTATAGTCAGTATCTAGTTAACTGAAAATATCATTACAAGGTATCAAAACAAACAAAAACATTTTTAAAAATATGATAAAGAAACTATAGTGGGCATGATGTCACTGGGATCTCTGAAAAGCCATCTCACTAAAAACCAGCTAGATGCTGAGCACAGTCTGTGACTTTAATTCACTGGTGCACTTGTAGGAAGTAAGGAAAATCTCTTAGGTCTCCCACTCCTGTTAAAATATGACCCAAAACTGAGGCGCCTGGGTGGCTCAGTCACTTAAGCATCTGACTGTTGATATTGGCTCAGGTCATGATCTCATAGTCGTGAGATCAAGCCCTGTATAGGACTCTGCACTGGACATAGAGCTTGCCTGAGATTCTCTCTTTCCCTCTTTCTCTCAAAATAAATAATTAATTGATTTTAAAAATTATGACCCCAAACTGGATCACAGACCTAGCAAAAACCAATGGGAAAAGCTGATTGTTTGGGGCAAAAATCTATACCATGACTGCAGAAGTTGAGTCTTGGAACTTGGATAAGGTGGTAACAATAAAACTCAGAATCCTAATGAGCCAGAACCCTCAAATACTAACAAAAGAAAACTGGTATGAGTGTAACAATATCAGACAAACTAGATTTGAGAATAAAAATCATTATATCATTAATCGCTTAAGGATGAAACTTCCAATTTACTAGTGTCTATGTTAATTCTGAACATGCCTAAGAGAAAGCTTCAAAATGCATTGAGTAAAAACTGATGGGACTATAGGGAGAAACTGACAAATCTATGCAGCTGTGGGAGCAGTCAGTGCACCTCTCTCAGTCACTGAGATGGAACAAAAGAAGTACTAGCATAGTAGGGGTGGGGGGCAGGGGAGAAGGGAGGAGAGGGAAAGGGCTGTCAATCTGTGGACCTCACAGGCCTTTGTAAGAATTTTGGAATGCTTATTTTAAGTAGGCAGAAGCTAGTGGGAAGTTTTGAGAGGGGTGAAATGAATAAACTTGCATTTTAAAAGCATTGCTGTGGCCATGTTATTGAAAATGCCCTATCCTTGATACGTTGCTTTCCTTAGCTTCTAAGACAACACAGGAGTTGGATTCCCTCCCACCTCACCATTTGCTCTCTCTCATACTCTTCTGCTGGTTCATCTTCTACTCTTTGATCTCTGGATATTAGATTCCCTTAGGTCTCCGTTCTTGACAGTTTTTTCTGTCTATGCTTCCTTATTTAATATCTTTAGTCTCAAAGCTTTCAACATCCTTCTATATGCCAATGATTCTGAAGTTATCTCCAGCCTCTACCTGTGTCTTGAGCTCCTGTCTCTTATCTCTTACTGCCTACTCTACATGTCCACCTAGATGTGAAGAACTCTCATACTTAGCATGCCCCAAACTAACCTGTCAATCTTTTTCCCCAAACCTGCTTCACTGTCTCTCCACCTCAACTGATGGAAATTCCATTCTCCAATTGCTCAGTTGAAAAATCATAGTGTCAAATATGACTCTCCTTTCTTCACAATCAATATCCAATGCTACAAATTGCTCTGCCTTAAAATTATTCAGGGGTGCCTGAGTGGTATAGTCGGTTAAGCATCCAACACTGGCTCAGGGCACCATCTCATGGTTTGTGAGTTTGAGCCCCGCATAGGTCTCTCTGCTGTCGGCACAGAGCCCACTTCAGATCCTCTGTCTACCTCTCTTTCTGCCCCTCCCCTGCTCACTCTGTCTCTCTCAAAGATAAATAAACATTAAAAAAATATTCAGAATCTGACCATTTTTCATCATCTCTAGAACTACCATCCTGGTTCAGGCCACTCTACCTGGATTACTGCGACTGGTTCCCTGGCTTCTACCCTCTATTACTAAGCCAGGCTTTTCTCACACAAGACAGAGTGATGTCATCATTCTTTGGGTAAGAAAGTTGATGAAAAAAGATGGTTAGAGTCCAACAAAGAAAATCAACAGTGTCAAAAGTGCAATTAAGGAAAGAAGGAAGATGCAAAGAAACAATATTGGGGAAAAATAGGAGCTTAACTACAGGCACAGAAAAGATTACCAAAAAAAATATATTTTCAACTATTTTGAATAATTTCATGGCAATAATATTGAAAATGTAGTCAAATGGACAATTTCCCAGTAAGTATAAATTGGTGTTATTGACCCAGTTAAAATTCTGAAAGCCTGAATATTTCTAATCATTTTCAGGGGCTGGGAATACAACTGTGAAAAAACAAACAATAATTCTTGCCTTTACAGAGTTCACATTACAGTATAGAAAACCAAGCACTAACTGAGATACAGAATTAAAAGAGCAGTTGAGATGCAGATAAATACTAAGAGAAAAATCAAATAGAGAAGAGGGAAAAGGAGTTGTGATTTCAAAGGGGTGGCCAAGAAAGTGTTGACTAATAGGTGACATTTCAGTAAAGGAAAAAAGGAGACAAGGAAGAACATACTGAGAGACTGATCAGTGGGAAGATGTTTCAGGCCAAGGAAAAGAGAACATAAAAGACAATGGCAAGGGCAAAGGGGTTGAGGTGGGGATGTGCTTGCCTGTTTGACATCATCTTTTCAGTGAAGTTTCACTGACAACCCTCATTAAAATTGCAACGCCCCATGGGGCGCCTGGGTGGCGCAGTCGGTTAAGCGTCCAACTTCAGCCAGGTCACGATCTCACGGTCCGTGAGTTCAAGCCCCGCGTCAGGCTCTGGGCTGATGGCTCAGAGCCTGGAGCCTGTTTCCGATTCTGTGTCTCCCTCTCTCTCTGCCCCTCCCCCGTTCATGCTCTGTCTCTCTCTGTCCCAAAAATAAACGTTGAAAAAAAAAAAATTGCAACACCCCTAATATTCTCTGTCCTTTTACTTTCTAACTGAAGATAAATTTTACTTATTAGTTATTTATGTTTATTATTTCTTATATGCCTCCCCCCATTAGAAGGCAAGTTATATGAGTGTAGGAATTTTGGTCTGTTTTTCTTCTGGGTGTATCACAAATGCCTAGAACACCACTTTGCACACAGAGAGTGCACAATAAATATTTGTGGAAAGACCGGGAAAGATTAGAAAGGCACAGCAAGAGGAGCAGAAAGAAAATGAGGAAACCAAATGAAGAAAGTGTTTCAAGGATTCAGAAATAACTATGTGAAATCCTTTTAATAGGCGAGGTAGGACGAGGACTGAGAATTGACCATTAAGTGAGGAATAAGGAGAACTCTCATGTACCTGACATGACTAGCATGGCAAGAGAAACCTTGATCCCAATGGGTTCTAGAAAGAATTGGAAAAGACAGTTCTGAAACCAAAATGAGCATGATAACTCTTTCAAAGAGCTTCACTGAAAAAGGAAGGAGGAAAAATGGACAGTAGCTGGAAGCAAGAGTAGGAGGAAGAAGGACAATTTTTATTTTTTAAATTTTATTTATTTTTTAAAAAATCTCTAAGAGGAGAGGATTGACAGCATATACTTTATGTCGGTGGGAAAAATCCAGCAGAAAGAGAAAAAAAATTAAAAAGGCAAGAACTAGAGGAATTGTTTACTGGAGAAGAGCAGGGAGGATGGGCTCTCATACACTACACATGTGGAGGGGCTGGTCTTAGATCAGAGCACAGATGGTTCATCCCTAGTAACAGAAGTGAAGACTGGGTATTCAGGCACAGATGCTTGTAGGTGGGTTGATGTGGTCGTGGGAGCTGGCGGAAATTCTTTTTTGATTGCTTCTATTTTCTCAGAGAAATAGGAAGCAGTGTCACCAGCTGAGAGTAAGGATATGGGAGGAGGTGTGGAAGATTTGAAGGAACAAGGTATGGAATACTTGTCCCTGAAATAAAGAGGCAATGGAATCGGGAAATGCCTTTGGAGTGCCAGGCAGCAGTAAGGACCCACTTGGGTTAGTCATCGTGCCTGGGGGTGTGTTTTTCTGCAGGCACACTCAGCGGCATGTGCGTGGGCAGGGACTAGGAAGAGAGTTGGCTTCAATCGGGGTTATGTTTTAATCAGGACAACAGGACAAAGGAAACCTGGTCAAGACAATTAGCGTACGTACAAAGGAGTGACCTTTGCGGATTCAGCACTGAATTTAAATAGAGTACAAAAGGAACGAATGCCTTGAAGAGGGTGAGACTCAGTAAAATCAAAGGATTAAAGAGCACGGAGTCCGTGCGTTTTGGAGCCAGGGCAAGTTTGATTGGACAGTGAGATACATGCTTAAAGAAGACATTGAAGGAGTTTCAGTTACTGGTGATGACAAGTTCTAGACTATGCCTTATGCCCATCAGGGGCATAGAGGGAAGGATGGGATCACTGAAAGACAGGAGATCAAGAAACTAAGAGGCCAGGTTTTTGGCAGAATCATCTATGGGTTACTGAAGTTTTTAAGAATTATGGCATGCATTGTCATGCAGGAAATTAAATCTTCAAAAAAGGAGGGGAAGTGACCTATGTAGGATTGATAACCGCAACACGGATGGGTAGTAGGTGGTAGAGTTTGATGGCTATTTTCATAATTCCTTAAGACGAAAAGCCTTACTTTGCCAACGCTCTACTACTAAAAAAATAACTAGTAAGTTTAATTACTCTACATGTATTACATGCAATAGTTTTGCGGGCATAGTTAAGTTTAGAGTTTAAAACAATCTGGACTACCAGCTACGTGACCTTGGGCAAAGCACCTAAACTCAGTCTGCCTGAAGTTTATTCATTGACAAAATGAAGATAATAATAATAGTTGTCTCACATCCTGCATGCCAACTGCTTAGCAAAATAAAGTACTTAAGACAGAAACATAGCTGAATACTCAATTATAGTTAACTATGACTATTTTTGTCATCTTCCTAGATAACTATGCATTAAGGTATCTGGAAAATAGAAAAGCTAGTAAAGGTGTATCTTGCTTTTCGGAATAATATGATCCTACCTACATGTAAGTTAAGTTAAAAAAAAAAACTTCGGTAGAACCATTTATAAAATAACCCCTTTGCAAAAAAAAATTAAAAATTATCTGAATCATGTTTTTAAACACTGATTATGTATTAAGAGACAATCGTCATGTGGTATGTTTTTTTTTTAAAGATGTGAACCATGCAGAAAACCAAAAATTTGAGATCTTGATAGCCTATCTAAGTTTTCATGGCAAAAGCCATAGTTACTTTTGGACTGGGATAAGTAGACAATATTCTCAAACATTCTTGCTTATGTATTAATGAGTCTTATATTGTGCTTTTTTCCATTATTTGTGTAACCCCATCTCAGGATTTCCCCCTATTCTTAATATAGTGGGAACTGCATTTCCAAGCCAGCCCAATATTCCAGCACAAAGTAGTGATACCAAGTTGATGGGCTGATTCTTCTATTGAAGACGACTAGAATTTTAGTTATCTCAACAATGATTCAAACTGCTTACATCATCAAAGCTTATCTTATTTAGGTATCTAATAAATATATCTTAAATAAATGAGAATTGATTTTATAATTAACAACGACATTGTTTTATGACTCTACTATTCTCAGTACCTGTGCCCAGACCTAGTAAAAGTTCCTACCTCAGTAAACAGATCATTCTGGAGATTTGCCTTGACCTAGTCCTAGCCCTTACTTGCCTCTGCTTGCTTCCTGTTGTCTCTTCATTGCATTCCCTGACCTTCTCTTCAGTCCTTTCTGATTTTTAGTCTCAGATAAGCATCTTCTCCAGCTCTTACCCCTTCCCTTTCCCTACTCCATTTCATTTTGGTATTTATGGTTGTTCGTTACACTCTGGTAAAAAAGGTGGTTCCAGCTGCACAGTTGATGGTTGGCACAGGGTCTCTATCTCTCAAAGGAGCCAGGAGAGTCATGAGGGGCCTCAGTTCATATAATCACTGAGACACACGGACAGCGTGTGTGCATCCAACTTAAAACTCAACGTTCAGCAGGTGTTGCTGCAGCCTAGAGTGTGCAGTGAATTAACATGTCCGCTAAATCTTATCAACTGGTAAATAGCACAGCCAATATGCTTGGACATTTTCTCTGTGGTGGAGCATTTAAATCAGACCTAAGTATATTATGCAAACAACAAACACATGCTGTGTCTCAAACTTCTAGATTGGAGGCACCTTGTACATAAAACTGGCACACAGTAGGCCCTCGGCGTGTACTCACAGCATTAGCACATCTAACCCACAATCCATACCCATTCTACATCTGATTTTAAACCCTAAGGTAACTTCTTTTGTATGAATTAGTCACCTCAGTTACACACTATTTCAACTGTTACATGACGCATTAGGTGGTAGTTACAACGAATTGCTAATCTGTTGAAGCGGTATTATTGTGTAACCCTGTCTCAGCATTTCCCCCTATTTTTAATATACTGGGAATCTCAACAAGGACATAGCCCAGGTTTTTCTGCTTCTAAGAAGACTTAACCTGATTCAGTCCCAGAGAAAAATCTTGGGACTTGATCTCTTATCCTCTATCTTCAGAGACAGTATAGACTGGATTTTATGTGTGTGTATCTCCACCGATGGAGCAGACGCCAAAGTCATGCTTACCAGAGAAGCAGATTCTAAAGAGTTCTCTGTGTGTTTTGTGTATGGTGGCGGTGGTGAGAAGGGGAGAGGCTAAGAGATCAACAGCAAAACTTAAAGTATCTGGAGAGACTGATTACAACTGAAGAAGGGCCAAGAATAAACGCAGAAAGGACCCTGACCGATTGTGCAGGAACACAAAATCTTGTTGCATCCGTTTTGTTTGGCAGCCGGATCTGGGGTGAGTGAGTCGAGCCGAGAGGGCCAAGAGCTGAAACTCCATGCCACCTCTGTACCTCTACATTTCTAGTTTCAAAGATAAGGTCCCAGAAGGGCCTGAAACCAAATCTGTCATGAATTTGCCTTACAGTCTAGTTTAGAACATAGAACAGTCTATTTCCTTGAAGCAGTAAAAAAATATTCCTATCTTGGCAGAAAATATACGTGAGCCACAGATTGCCCATATTTGGTCACCTCCCCTTGTCTGGTTTCCACATATACAGTAATCCCTACGATGACAGTAAATGAGGTACACAAACTCAATTGCACAAAACACAGGACTGAGTTAATATGATGTTAATGAAAAACAGCATTTTTAGTTAGGTCCCACAAAACCCAAAGAGGAAGAAGTTACAATTTATACTAAGCACAACTGACTCTGCAGTACACTAAAAAAGTCGCAAATAAAAGTCATCAACGCCTAATCCCACCACTTTCTAAAATCCCCACTCTCCCTTGACCCCCTGCCCCCTCATAGCAAAGGACATAAAAACGTGGTAGCTTGGCTTGCCTTCCTTTGAGAACGGAGACAGGAATGAGGTCTAGAACCAACAGCCAACCACATTATTACATAAATGTGTCTGTGGGCTTACCTTTCAAAAAATAACATATAGCAACGGCAATAACAAAGATAACTGCCCAGAAAATTCTTCAGAAAATAAATCTACTGGAACTGTCGTTAGCAAGCAAGGAAGACGGATGTGCGACATTTCAGAACCTGTATGAATGGACACTTGGGAGACCCGCGTCAGTGGAAGGTCTAAACAGCCAAGTCTTCAGACAACACTAGGACTGCTGTGCAGGAAGGTCTCCCCACCAGAACTCTTACCTTGTGTTGCTCGCGTTTCCGTTGTATTGTGTTGGCCGTTTCCTCATGCACCTGCTGAATGGTTATTTCCTCTCTCAGGGCCACCTCCGCTCTGTATAACCAGGCACCTATGGTGCCCAGAGGTGCAGGGAGAGATTTATCAAGCTGTATATGCCAGTCAAAGAGCTGAAATACAAAAGTAGAAAAACAATGTCTCTCAGAGGACAATTCCTTAAATTCCCTCAAATGACTTTTAAAGCCCCCATGAGGATTTAACTTAATCATCTTGTGTTACTTTAATAACTATCAAGTAAGAAAATATCTGTGTTCTGAATGCGGTACTTTAAGAATGAGGAGGAAATTAGAGTTACAAGCAAATTTTAAGGAAACAAAATACACCTTAGACATGGAAGGGTATTATTGGGAGCTTAAACAATTTTCTACCTATAGGAGTAGCACAAAGCCCCCACTGATTTTTCAATTTGGCTTTTGCTGAAAGGGAAAGGACTGGGTTTGCTGACGTGCTCCAGGATGTAGTTGTTATACACTGGGTACACTGTTGTGTATCCTTTAAAATCTCACACAGGGGAACAGGTGCAGAAAAATCATGGTCATCTAGATATCTCTGGAGGGAAAGGAACATTCAGGATTCTTTCTATGAAACTACAATTCCCTAACCATTTCTTCATTTCTTCCCCTTTATCCAATTCTTTTGGGGGTGGGGGGGTGGGGAGGAGAGTGCAAGAAGAGGAGAGGACAGAGGATCCACAGCAGGCTCTGTGCTGACAGGCTTTCAGCACCAAGCCCAATGTGGTGCTCAATCTCACGAACTATGAGATCATGACCTGAGCCAAAGTCAGACGCTCAGCTGACTGAGCCACCCAGGTGCCCTTCCACTTTATCCAGTCTTAAGCACTGTTTCCTAACTTACTGGAATACCAGATGGGATAGGTTGAGGTGCTTGGGAACTAACCTATTCTCTGGTAGAGTTTGTGGGGAAAAGATTAGATTATAAAAATGAAGTAAATAGAAGTTCAAGACAAATATTCTCAATAGTGATAGAAGTTTCAGTGACCAAGTTTGAAATCTTGGTCTTTAAGTTTGCAAAATATTAACATGAAATTTACTGAGCAGTTTTTCTTCAGGTTCATGAAAGACCAGATTAGAAGATTTGCTTAAATTAAAGCATGTAAAAATAAACGTGCATATACAAAGATTACTAACTATTGATGAAACCTAGCTATAGACTTTAGAGAAGTTATTGAGGCTCCATTCTTGGGAGAGTCACCTTTTCTAAACAACCCAGAATTTAGTTGTGTAAAGTGAGCAGTAACCCAGGTGGTCTTGCAGGATTTCAAGCCATCATCTACTACGTGCAACTACGTGTTTGGGGCGCCTGGGTGGCTCAGTCGGCTGAGCATCCGACTTCGGCTCAGGTCATGATCTCACAGTTCCTGAGTTTGAGCCCCACATCAGGCTCTGTGCTGACAGCTCGGAGCCTGGAGCCTGTTTTGGATTCTGTGTCTCCCTCTCTCTCTGCCCCTCCCCCGCTCATGCTCTGTCTCTCTCTCTGTCAAAAATAAATAAAAATTTTTTAAAAATCTTACAAAAAATAAAAACAGAAAAAAGAAACTACGTGTAGGGCAGACAAAGCAGAAGAGTTGTTCAACCAAGTTCAGTACTTCCACTAACTTAAAGGAAAACTCCCATGGCTAAGTCTTTCCCTCCTCAGCTAGAGGCAGTAGGACCAGATGACATATCACTGTTTAGAAAACATGATGGAAAATGTTCTTGACTCAATTACATAAGCCTTAGTAAAATTAATCACGAGAGAACTTACCCTGGAGGACACTCTATCCCAGGACTGCTTTACCAATGCTTGGTCAAGTGACAATTTACCGTCTCTATGTACTGGTTGTATTAAATGTTCGATCTGTTTCCTTTTTATTTCATATTGAACTCTGAAGTGCTTAAATGACTAGACGAGGAAAAACAGAAACGACATGGACACGAGTCAAAAACAGCAAAAGCAAAGGAAACCACATTTCCTAAATAACAATCCTTCATATTTGGATAACACTCAACATACGTTGTTGATAATAATGATGACAAGTCGTGATACTGATAGCACTGCCATTCATCAAGCCCTGATGATGAGCCTGGCCCCATGCTAACTGCTCTTTGCACATCATCTCGTCTGGCTTTCTCCATCACCCTACAACATCGACATGCCCTATTATTATTACCATAGGAAGCCCAGAGGTAACTTGGCAAGGGCAAGTAGTGGAGGCAGGAGTAAAACCTAAGATTTCTCATTTCTAGTTAAATAATCTATGTACAAGTCCATGCTCATCAAGAAATCGTAGAAAACAGGAATATAAACCTATGTTAATAATCAAAATAGTTGCTTTACTTCAAAGTAAATAACAGTTAAATAATAAACCAAATAACTTAGAGATACAAATTATATACATCAAAGTACTACTAATTTGAAGATATCTAAATTTGTGTTGAAGTAAGTCTATTTAAAGAGTTTTACATAGGGGACCTCATTTATATAATAATATTTTGCTTTAACTTTATGGCATTAAAATATTAATTATCGTGTCATTTCTTTTATCATGGTGTGTATAACATAAATTTGTAATATGTAGATTTAACCATAAGTCAAATGTTAAACTAAAAAAGTAGTGATTTTAATAAATGTTCTACATTTTACATTAAAATAGCACATCCTGGAATAAAAATTCCACGTCCAAATATGAATTGAACATGCCACTAAAATGTGTAACTATGTTAAAGAATGTAAGAATGGCCCTACAGAGTCTTGCAGGTAACACATCTGAAAGAATCCGAGTAAACAAACATGTAAGTTCACATGAAGAACACTGGGGGGAGACGGTGAGTAACTATTTTACCACAACTTTTATCTTCCATTTCCTCCAACTTCACGTAATTTAAAAATACCAAAACATAAAATTGATCTTTAATTTTACTTAACAGAATTTCAATTTTATTCCACAGAATGAAAAAAATGGAAAATACACTGTTATGGTAAGTAGAAACAGAAAATGCTGATTATGTAAGAAACACACAGACGAAAATGTCCCCTATATTCAGATTTCACAAGCTCTCTAACCCTTTTTTAAGAAACAGCCCTTCATCTTTGGCCTGAAGGGAGTGTTTCTATTTTGTGCTTTTCTAGTCTTTTGTTTTCCTTTTATAAAATAACATCTGTACAACAGGTAACTTCATAATTTGGAATTGATTTTTTATAATTGATGCCTAAACTAAAACACACACTAGTCTAATAAGTAGATTTACTCTGTTGTTGTATTTCTATTCTCAGTTTACAGGTTTCATCATTTTTTAATGGGACTCATCCAGAAAATTGTATTTTTGAGAAAAAAAAGATTACACTAGCTTTCAAAGCAAAAAATGTACATACATATAAACACATACATATTGCTTTGCTATGTTCAAATAATATAATATTGACGCAATTATCCACCTAAAGTCAGGAAGAATTTATATGTGTTATATACAATCACACACTAATGCCAATGGCTATATCTTTTATCATCTGCCATGTTGAGTCTCATATCATTGCCCCTCTTTATGTAGCAAAACCAACTGAAATATAGACTAGGATATATTATAGTTTGGCCACTAAAATGCGATGCTGTTTTAAATAGGAAAATGTTCATGCTGCATACAGTGAATTACAATTTAGTGGGGAAAACCTGGTGTAAGACTATGTGCTTAGCAGTGAAAATTGGAAGCCAAAATCCAAGTACTAGCAGTAAAAGGAGACGGGGTGGGGGTGGGGGTGGGGGGCAGGGGGAAATAGCAGCAGCAACAGCCCTAGACTCGGTTTGAGTGCAACAGTGTCGAACCAGGCAGGTCACAATAGAAACTGATCCCATTAATGGGCTCACTCCAAATATTCATGTTGCCAGCCTTTATTAAATTCGGCTTATTCTATAGTAGCTTTCAATGTGGCGCTGAATTCATTTTTTGGTGGGATTTTTTGTTATGTGACATCTGCCAGATCATGAGTTGTAGAAAAACAACAACTAGATGTTTGTGTTTTGGGTCATCTCTAAGACTCTGAGTTCTAAGCCATGAAGCCTCCTCGGAGCTCTACATACAGGGAGGGTGGACACACACAACCTAGACCTACTAACGCCACCTCCGGGATACACCCAAAGGAAACGAAAACAGGATACTGAAGAGGTATCTGCACTGCCATGTTTATTGCAGTATTATTCACAATAGCCAAGATATGGAAACAACCTGAGTGCCCATTAATGGATGAATGATAAAGGAGAGATGAGATATACACACAGAGAGAGAGAGAGAGACAGAGAAAGATAGAGATAGATATAGATATAGACATAGACATAGACATAGGTATAGATATAGATATAGATAAAGATATAGATAAAGACATAGATAAAGATATAGATAAAGATAGATATAGATATAGATATAGATATTGATATAGGTATAGGTAGAGATAGAGATAGAGATAGAGATAGAGATAGAGATAGAGATAGAGATATGGGGGGGAGGGAGGGAGAGAGGGAGAGATGTCTATATTTCTAAATATCATAGAAAGGACATCCTCCTATTTGTGACAACACATTACGCTAAGTGAGATAAGGCAGACAGAAAAAGACAAATAATATACAATATTACCTCCATGTGGTATTTCAAAAAGCCAAACTCATAAAGACAAGTTAAAATGGTGGTTTCGAAGGGATGGGGGGTGAAGGTGGGGGATAGGACAGATACTATTTAAGTACACAAACTTCCGATGAGTAGTAAATAAATCCTAGAGATCTAAAAGCACAGTATAGTGAATATAGATGACAATATTGTATTATAGTCATCAGACTTGCTAAGAGACTGGAATGTAACTATCCCAACCACAAAAAAGAAATACTTACGCAATGTGACGGAGGTGCTAATTATTTCTACAAGGGCAATCATATTACAATATATAAATGTATTATATTTTTTAAAACTACTTATTTACCCAGAAATACAATTATTATTATTTTTTATTTATTTTCCAGAGAGAGAGAGAGAGAGAGAGAGAGAGAGAGACAGAGTGTGAGTGGGGGAGGGGCAGAGAGAGAGGGAGACACAGAATCCAAAGCAGGCTCCAGGCCCTAAACTGTCAGCACAGAGCCTGATGGAGGGCTTGAATCCACGAACTATAAAATCATGACCTGAGCCAAAGTTAGATGCTTAACAGACAATTATTACAATTGCATGCAAAGTTAAGATAACACATATTATTTCTTTAAAGATTTTTTTCTCACTAATATCATTAGAAAGACTGAACATGGATTAAAAAGCTTTTAAGAAACTGAAATCACTTCTTCATACATTACCTGATATTTATCCTGTAAATTTGATTCCATCATCTGTGCCCTTGTCAAATCTCTTTCAAATTGTTCTATCCAGACTTTCGTTTCCTTCAAAATTAGCCCGTCTTCTCTCTAGAAACCAGCAGACATTACGTTGTCATCAGTGACTGTACATTTATTTAATTGCTGATTAATACCTGGCTGATTCTAAAATGCCCCAAATATTTAGTAAGTTCCAATTGTCTCTGAAAGTTTTTCTCTCTCCTCTCCCTCACTTATTTTGGGAAATAAGAGGCAAAAGTTAAATCTAGAAAAATAGCTTAATTATCTTGCTGAATATTGAAATTATCCACCTCCATTACTTTCTCAAGAAACACTAATTTAATTAAGAGAATGTGCTCAAGAGGAAATGCCCTAAGTACAAAAATACTCAGGAAGAGCAATGGCTGGAGAGGACTGAACACATAGGCCTGGGGGTGCTCTTAATCCAAGGTCATTCATAGCCCAGAAGACTATTCTGGATGAGACTAATTTTGGCTGAATCCAAGGAATGACAGCCACAGTAACATTGTGGACTAGTATTATTTAAAAATGCTATTCGGGATTATAATGTAAGCTTCACGATGTCAGAAAATATTTATTTTGTTCAATATGGTATTACTAGACCATAGGCAACACAGCACCTATAAATATTTACCAAAATATTTGCTGAATAAATGTATCCAGGCTACCACTCACATCTCAAAAATGAAAAAAAAATAGAGATCTTATATAATTTTTCCCACAAATAATAGCAAGCCATTCTATTATTGATTTAGTGAAAATATCCTAATTTTTCATCAAGACTTCTTATCTGGTAAGAATGCCAAATTAATCAAAAACATATTTAACATGGTTCTTGACACTTACAAATAGCTTCCAACTACAGGAGCTCACTTGGTCACAGCCCTGTGACACAGATGAAACGGCTGATGACAGGTGAAGTGGCAAAGTAGACAGAGTGTTGGCCATGGAGGCAGGTCAACCTGGTTGCGAATTCTGGTTCTGACATGTACCAACTCTGTGACTTTGGACACAATGTTTTTTAAATCCTCTCTAGTGCTGTACCATCATCTGAGTAGGTATCACACACCGCTTCCCCAGTTTGGGGGAGAATTCGAGAAAACCTGTGCGGCACACCCAGCACAGAGATTGGCACACGCTGCTGTCGTGACCCACACCTTCTCTCACTTTCCAGTCTTGAAAAGCAATCCTGTCCTGCCTGAAACATTTTGCTCTGAATAATGCCTTCCTCAGAGCTCAGCTCAGACACAACCTCTCTAGAAAGATTTTTCTGACCCAGAAGTCTTGTTGGATCCCTCTTCTGTGCCAGCAGTTCTCACACATCAGCATGCGTGACAATCACCTGGAGGACTTCTGAAAATAGATTGCTGGGCACCACCCTCGGTCTTCCTTGGCTTGGTATGTCTGGGGTGGAGGCTGAGAATCTGTGTTTCTAAGAAATTTCCAGGTGAATCTAATGTTGCTGGTCTAGTGACCACATTTTGAGAATACTTCTCTGATCCTGTAACAACCTGAGCTCAAATATTCACTAGAAAAACACTATTTTTATATCGTCCACTTGTCTCTTCCTTTCCATCCATGGTACAAACCCCTTATTTATCTTATTTTTCTCTAGCCTAACATTGTGTCTAGCCCTCAGTCTCACTCAATATACAATGGTAGAATAAATGATTGGTCATATAGGTCAGTAGAGAAAGAAATGAACAGGAGCCCAAAACTCTAAAGTTTTAGTTCTTCCCAAGATGGCTCTTTTGAATGAACAGATAAACATGACCAAAGCGCATGGTTTATTACCAGGTGACTGGTTGACTATCACACCCATAAAAGCACAAATGGCATATTCTTATGAGCTCAGAAGAACAAAATGCTCTTGGTCTACCTCCAAGATACCAGAGGCCAACGTGACCGCTATGAGGGGGATCATCGAAATGACATGGACCTCACTGTGAGCCTCCAATGACCTGTTTCTCACCAACTGAAATTTTTTCACAAAGTCACCTTAGAGAAAGGATTATGTTAACTTCATTAGGGTTCATCTAGTAAATGGCTTTTCTACTGGTGGGCCAGTGTCAAGCAAATTGCAATAAGGTAAGAAGCATGGAGCTATTTACACACTCAACATTCTCCTCTTAAGAGGAAACTGAAATACAAACAATATTTAGATTCCCAGAGCTCATTTAGTCTAGTGGCTTTTCTTCGACTGGTAACCTTACCAGCATTCAAAGACATGGAGGTCTACTTGTCTAGAGAAGACCACCTAAATTCCAGGCAACATTCCTGCCTGGAACTCATGCCAGCATTCTCATGACTGTTTCTCTTTCCTTCTCTTTCTCTTTCTCTCTTTTTCACGCAAATATACACGCAGGCACTTTTATATGTTCTGCAGTATGTTTAATGTACATCAACTCACGATTCATGGGGCATGAAATAGAAATTACTTTAACATTTGATATACAATTAGTTACTTTTAATTTGTTATTTGAATGTTGGCATCATTATATTTTATTGATAGATCTTTAACCTCAGCCCTAGATGGAATATAAGAAAAATGGAAAACAAATAGGATAACTTAGAATTGGGACAGACCTCACAGTCATTAATCCCACGAGTATTCCTGAGCACTACCATGTGTCATGAACTTTACTAAACTATGTGGCCACATACTGAGCAGAAGAGATGTAATAAACCTCAGGATACAAGCTGAGTACTTACCTTTTTCAAGTAATTATTTCCTACTTAATATTTTAAAATATAAAAATAAATCTTTAGCTTTGTTTTTATTTTGCATGTCACATATAAAGAAGCCAAATGTTGTTATTGTAAATTTTTCCTTTCATTAGTGCTGTTAAGTGTTATTAAGAAGAAATTAATTGATGCCATCTTATAATTAAAGATTAGTGGGAAAGTCCATGGGAGTGGCTCAGGCTACAACTAACATTTCATAACATTTACGTAGGTTATTTGTTCTATTAGAAAGAAAAGGAAATAACAGAATTAATGTATTAAAAGAAACGTGTATATAAAAGCAAATACATGCAAAGGAATGGCTAGTAAGCTATGGAATGTAGGACGTTTGAAAGAGGTCACTAATTCAAGATTATTTATATCTTACCTTAAAATTTTGGATAGAATTTGCAAAAGATGGAAAACCTGGAAGTATTTCCTAACAATATGAAAACAAGATAACATATAGAAAAAGAATATAAATCAAGGACAAAAGATTATATAGGAAATAAGAAAAAAATCAATGGAGAGGCATCTATCCATAAACAAACAGATGATAATTTTATGGCTATAGTTACTTTAAGAGATTGTCATAACTTTTGAAAGCATCAAAATGCTCAAATATAATAAGGCAAGTTAGTATTCTAGTATTTGATGTTTTGTTTTAATTTTTGGCAATGTTTACATTTTATAAATGTTTACATGTTAAAATATTAATGATTTAAATGGTGAACTATATAAAAAAGAGGTATATTAATTAATTTCTCTTCTCTATAAATACACTGAGTGCTAATTATTCAAGGAAGACCTTTAGAGAAAAAGTTTATCAGTTTTATTGGTTGGAGTAAGAAAGGCATAGCAATGTCTACTTCCATTAAGAAAATTAAATTTAAAATTGATCTATATGTCTGTTTTTGTGCCAGTACCATACTGTCTTGATGATTACAGCTTTGTAGTAGAGGCTAAAGTCTGGTATTTTGATGTCTCCCGCTTTGGTTTTCTTCTTCAATATTACTTTGGCTATTCAGGGTCTTTGTGGTTCCACACAAATTTTAGGATTGCTTGTTCTAGCTTCGAGAAGAATGCTAGTGCAATTTTGATTGGGATTGCATTGAATGTGTAGATTGCTATGGGTAGTATTGACATTTTAACAATATTTATTCTTCCAATCTATGAGCATGGAATGTTTTTCCATTTCTTTGTATCTTCTTCAATTTCCTTCATAAGCTTTCTATAGTTTTCAGCATACAGATCTTTTACATCTTTGGTTAGGTTTATTCCTAGGTATCTTATGATTCTTGGTGCGATTGTGAATGCAATAGAATAGAGACTCCAGAACTGGACCCACAAATGTATGGCCAACTAATCTTTGACAAAGCAGGAAAGAATATCCAATGGATGAAAGACAGTCTCTTTAACAAATGGTGCTGGGAGAACTGGAAAGCAACATGCAGAAGAATGAAACTAGACCACTGTCTTATACCATTCACAAAAATAAATTCAAAATGGATGAAAGACCTGAATGTGAGACAGGAACCCATCAAAACCCTAGAAGAGAAAGCAGGAGAAAACCTCTCTGACCTCAGCCACAGCAATTTCTTACTCAACACATTTCCAAAGGCAAGGGAATTAAAAGCAAAAATGAACTATTAAGACCTCATCAAGATAAAAAGCTTCTACACTGCAAAGGAAACAATCAACAAAACTAAAAGGCAACCGATGGAATGGGAAAAGATATTTCCAAATGACATATCAGATAAAGGGCTAGTATCCAAAATCTATAAAGAACTCACCAAACTCCACACCTGAAAAACAAATAATCCAGTGAAGATATGGGCAGAAGACGTGAATAGATACTTTTCCAAAGAAGACATACAGATGGCCAACAGGCACATGAAAAGATGCTCAACGTCACTCCTCATCAGGGAAACACAAATCAAAACCACACTGATACACCACCTCATGTTGGTCATAGTGGCCAAAATGAACAAATCAGGAGACTATAGATGCTGGAGAGGATGTGGAGAAACGGGAACCCTCTTGCACTGTTGGCGGGAATGCAAACTGGTGCAGCTGCTCTGGAAACAGTGTGGAGGTTCCTCAAAAAATTAAAAATAGATCTACCCTATGACCCAGCAATAGCACTGCTAGGAACTTACCCAAAGGATACAGGACTGCTGATGCATAGGGGCACTTGTACCCTAATGTTTATAGCAGCACTTTCAACAACAGCCAAATTATGGAAAGAGCCCAAATGTCCATCAACTGATGAATGGATAAAGAAGATGTGGTTTATATATACGATGGAATACTACTTGGCAATGAGAAAGAATGAAATCTGACCATTTGTAGCAACGTGGATGGAACTGGAAAGTGTTATGCTAACTGAAATAAGTCAGGCAGAGAAAGACAGATACCATATGTTTTCACTCCTATGTGGACCCTGAGGAACTTAACAGAAGACCCGGGGGAGGGGAAGGGGGGAAAAAAGGTTACAGAGAGGTAAGGAGGCAAACCATAAGAGACTCTTAAATACTGAAAACAAACTGAGGGTTGATGGGGAGTGGGGGAGAGGGGAAAGTGGGTGATGGGCATTGAGGAGGGCACCTGTTAGGATGAGCACTGGGTGTTGTATGGAAACCAGTTTGACAATAAATTATACATAAAAAATAAAATAAAATAAAATAGATCTATAAAGTATACACTTTAAATAAATAAGCTCATGAAAAAGATACAGCAGTCAAATATACCAAAAAATGGAAGCCTGGAGACACACTGATGCCAAGCTTTTTTTTTTCAATTAAACATTTTTTTTAAATGTATCTATTTTTGAGACAGAGAGACAGAGCATGAGTGGAGGAGAGCCATAAAGTGAGGAGACACAGAATCTGAAGCAGGCTTCCGGCTCTGAGCTGTCAGCACAGAGCCCGATGAAGGGCTTGCACCCATGAACTGTGAGATCATGACCTGAGCCGATGTCAAGTTTTTTAAAAGAGAATTAAAAGAGGACTGTCTGGGTGGCTCAGTTGGTTATCATCTAACTCTTGATTTCAGCTCAGGTCATGATCTCACGGTTCAGTTCGTGGGATCGAGCCCGGTGTTGGGCTTCCTGCTGGCAGCAGGAAGCTGGCTTGTGCCTGAATTCACTTTCTCCCTCTCTCTCTGTCTGCCCCTTCCCTGCTCATGCTCTCTCTCTCAAAATAAATAAATAAACTTAAAAAATAAAACAAAATAAAAGTGAATTAAAAGAACTATTTCCCAAGACTTCGTTAGACAAATACCAAGTATTTTGAGGTAATGGCATCAATAGCTGTAATGTGTAGAGTCTATAAAATAATTAAATATAAATAAAATTAAAACGTTTGTACTAGATAGAATTAGGTGGCCATTTAGCTGCATTGAGCAAAGAGAAAGCCCTACATCATGAAAAACATAAAATTCTTTTTTTCTTTTTGAAAATCTTCATTTTTAGATTTCCCATTACAAATGCCACATTAAAAAAGGAGCAAAGTTTAGGATATATTTTCCTCAAAATTAATTTTTGAAATAACCCTGAAGCATCATATGCATTCTCTTTTTAGGAAGGGATAGAGAAAACTTGAAAAGAACAATCAGAACTTATTTTCCAGACAATGAAATTAATCTCTTAATAATAAAGCCTCTTGAGTAAAGCATATTAACAGGCTTATGTCAGGAATGTGTGTCTTTCAAATCTTGAAGCGTTTTGGCATTAAATTCTTGCTCATGAGCATTAACAAAAGCACATCCTTTTGTTTCTCCAACGCTGCCAGTCACAGAGTTTACTCATCTGGAGCGATGATTAATGTCACAGAAATTAAAACAGTACAGACTCAGAAACCTGATCAGAAATAAATCCAATTGGGTAATACAAAAACTTTTGATATGAAAATCAGATGAAAAGCTGATTTTCTCATTGCTGTAGGGGGTTAAGTCTAATACGCTTTCTGATAGAGCAACAACCACACTCGATTATACTCTCAAAACCCAGAAAGCCCCAAATGACTCCAAAGCACATGCGTCAGTCCATGCTAGGATTTGTGTAGAAAGTCGGCTTTTGCCTCCCGTGGGTCTTCTTAGGAACACTTACTTTGCTAACTACAGATAAGTTACTCTAGTGGTCAACATGTGTGCCTGAATCCTGTCAAAGAACAAAATGGGTTTCCTGAAATGATAAGCTTTTAAAAACCTAACATACTTATATCAAAAGCCAGATTAATTTCAACCAAGCAACCTAGGAAATGCCAGTTACCATTGTTCTGCTTAATTTTTTATGAAGTCACAGATCTCTATTAGTGTAATACCTTCTCCTGGTTGAACACTTTGGGTTATGAGCCCTTGGCCTTTGCCACCTTAGACTTGTTTCTATTTAGAAAACGTATTAAATGTTTTTCTGGTTTCTCTTCAGGATGATCTCAAACTGCTTTGAAAACTCTTGTTGAGACCTGAGCAGTGAAATCAGACAGGTAGCTTTTTTAACACATCTTGAAAATTCCACTTATTTCTCTCCCTGTTGTCATTTTATCTTACATTTAATTTCAAATTCAGTAGTAAATCTACCTCACTATAATTTAAAAAATGATAATAAAAAAATGAGAAGAATGGTAATATTGATTATTAAAGTCTGGGAAAGTAGGCATGCTGGTGTGCTGGCTGAAGTGTAAAATGGGACAAAGTTTCCACAGGAAAATTTGACAAAATCATTTCAAAAAGCAGTAAAAACCTACATTGCCTTTAGCTTAGAAATTCCACTTTTAAGAAAGAATCATAAAGCAATGTTTTATTACAAAATTGTTCATAAACATATTTTTTATAATGGCAAAACTCAGAAATTTTCAACAATGAAGATTAGATAAATTATTGTACATCTAGATGATGTCCTGGAGAGAATGGCATAAGAAGAAATTTTTTTATAATGTTGACAGAAAAAGAAAATGATAAAATTGTATGTATACTCTAATTCCTATTTTTGTTAAAATATTCTATGCATCTACATACATATAAAAAATGTTGGTAACTGACACCACATATTAATTTTTTTCTCTAGGACAGGGTCTCTCTAGAAGATCAAGTGCAAATAATTTTCTTTTTCCTTTATTCACTTTTTTTCTTTTTTATGACAATGAACATAAGTCATTTGAGCAGTATAAAAAATATAAATGTTATTCAAACTATTGAGAGCTTGAAAAAATCTAATCACAGTGAATAATTAGAACTTTTACAAGTTTGCCTTACTTCCATATGTTTGTTGTGACTAGTGACTTATATAATAAATCTAAAAGTCAAAATTAGATTTTCTCAGATTGAACAGAATATGGGGGACTCAAGTTCTAGAAGCACAAATGACATAGATGTAAAATTGCTTCATCCTCAGATTACTAAATGAATTTCCCAACATGGCTATCTTTCCTCAATTTTAATTCATCAGTGTTACACGTCTAAGCATTTATCATTGATGCTCTCTGACATATCCAACATACCCACCAGCAAAATCTTTCCCAGTAACCTCTTCCCCAATTGCTGATATCTGTTCTTTACTCAGTTCCTCTCCTTTTGAAATGCATTCCAAAATAAAATAATAAAATAACATAACATAACATAACATAACATAACATAACACAACACAACATAAAATAAAATAAAATAAAATAAAATAAAATAAAATAAAATAATGCATTTAAATTTAATTTTTAGAAAGCAGCATGCTTAAACATCTGGGTCACTATCACTGAGTGTGCTATCAGTGCTCAAAGAAGAAAAGTACTTACATCATTCTCTTGCCCATCAGTGCCTGTGTTGTGGATGTCAGGGTAATGCTTCAGAAACTGGGCTACATAGGTCATAATAGACTTCTCATCTGGTTTATCCACATCAACATCTGGAACAACCAAAATCAAATGTGGATAGATTAATTAGCATTATTTATAGTGCTAATCTAACAATTTTGAAATCTAGCTAATATGCCAAAAGAGAGTGCCCTCAGTGCACAAGAAAAATAGAATTAATATTTCAAGATGGTGAGGGAGGGGAAACCAATTTAGTCTGGATGATACATGATGGGAATATTATGACTCAGAAACATGACACATTTTAACTAAGAAATTTTAGGAAAGTAATTCATATTTAATTTAAATAATCTCAACATTAATTCATCAGAAATCTGAGATCCTATATGATTATTCAGATGTCCTGTGTCATTAATAAAATATAAATAATATGTAAATTTCAGAACAGGGGCAAGTGGGGAGTAAAAAGCACTTACAGGTAAATGATGTGACTATAGAGCCTGTATACTGTATCTGGCCAAATATAGATAAGCTCTGTCTTGCCCCCACAAGTTTTATTTTAGAAAAGAGGGAAATGCCTTATGTTCAGTTCCTTGGATAGCCTCTCCCTTATGCTTGATTCTCTCTAAATTACTATACTTTGAATAGTCAAGTACTCTGAGGGAAACACAGAGCCTGAAAAGATATTTTTAAGTGTAATAAAACCAGTAAAAATCAAGCAAAGGTATTTATACAAATTTAATCAGTAGCTTAGACTGGGGGTAAGACTGTATACATAAAAGTGTTGAATGTTTTCAATCATCTTTTAACTATCTCTTTTAAAGGCAATGAGAAGGTGATTACATTTGGAGATTACAAATACCCACAAAGCAAAAAATATAACCAAACAAAAGCCATGAAAACCAAAATATAAACTGCCCTAATATTTTGTAATGTTTCTTGTGATGGGAGATAGAATTTCTAGGGACTATCAGTGCCAGTTTAAAAAGTGCTGCAACTCCAAAGGCTTCAAAGGAAACAGTGATAATGTATTCTGGAACGTGCTGAAGGACTCCAAGGTGATTGCAGAAACAACAAGATCACTGATGTGGAAGACACATGTGAAAAACGAGAAGATCTTTCATAAGATGTAAAAGTGAAAAAAAAAAAAAACATTTACCACATGATTTAATACAATAAGTGCATTTAAGTATACATGAAACGAAATCATAAAATAATTGTTATAATAGAGTTTGGTCTATTTCATCTGTATTCCTAAAAGTTTATACATTCAAGTGGGCTAAATGACTTTTTTTAAATGTCTTTTCAAAAATTAATTAATTTTTATACTTTTAATTTTTTCAATTAAAAAAGTTTAAGCTCAATAACTTTTTGAGGGGGTAGTTTGCATTAGGAAAACAAAAGATCACCTTCTATCTGGGCTAGCTCTGCATCTGGGCAACTTCAGTTTCTATCATCAAAGAAAAAACATTAAGCTTCTCTGGTCGAGTGGGTATGAAAAAAACCATTTATACCTTCCTCCTGGCCTGCTCTGGGAAAAATTGAGGGCTCAATGTATGTGGCTTTCTCCTTGAGCTGAACAGTATATTGGATACTACTGGTTTGTATGTGTGTGTGTGTGTGTGTGTGTGTGTGTGGTGCAGAAACAAGGTGGAAAGCTGTTGGCTATCCTAGTGAATGTGGGGGGCCCCCTGCAGGTTCCCAAAGTGGCAAGGGATCTCCACGTTGCTTTCATCTCACGGGAAGTCAAACAGGGCTTTGTAGGTATCTGTAACCTTGCAGGCACAAGTGTCCCACTTAGACCCTGTTTTAGAGGTAGTCATGCTTACTCTGAAATCTCATTTTTAAAAATAACTTGCTTTTATTGTATTGACTTTTCTGCATCATTAACAGAAATATTCATAACTGCCAACCAAAATAAGAAATTGTCTGCAGCATTTGGAAAATTCACTTTTACCCCGTTTATTTCAATATGACAAACAATATATACAGGTTACTAAAGTTTATTAAAGTCATCAAAATTGTCTCTTGAAGGCTTGAAGGAGTTTAATACATTCCCATAAGGTCTTAAAATTCACAAAATTACCAAAAAATTCACAAAATTAGCAAAAAGGTGCCAGATAATTCTAATGAAAAATAGCAGTTGACCATTGGTGAGGTTTTCCCCATTGATACCAGAACACTGGATGATTATCAACATTTCCAAGTTTCTAAGGCTGACATTTTAAAGATATGATATTAGGTTATTAATCTCTTATGTCTTCCAGATTCTTTGTTATATAAGTAGAGTAATTCTTTTATCCTGGATTCTCTTCTTCCCCCTAATGTCCACACACTTCTAAAGCTTTCATTCTACCCTTTACTATATTGAGTAGGTGCACGTCACCTGGCTGACACCAGCAATGTCAAAGTGCTGTTTGGAGCAGCAGAGCTGTTATTTTGCTCCCATATATCATGGCAAATATTTTCCCAAAAGAAAATTAGTGCAGGAAGGTACTATTTCTTACTGCTTTTCTAAAAATTTCTGGCCTCTACTAAGGTCTCAGAAATCATCTGGAATTTCTGCCGTTAAGAAACAGAAACCTACCGAGTTGATGTGTGTACACAAGAACCAGCAATTATTCAACTTGCCTTCAGGATCCAGTAGTCTTGGAATTCCTAGTTCTGATTCAGCAATAGTGAAAGCCTCCTCCAGGTTTTCCCGGTTAGATCTGCCTTTCACTTTCTCCAAGTCCACTAGTTCTGGTCGAATGGCATGGATGACCGAATGAAAGGCAACTCCACTTCTCCAACTCCGCCCGAAGTCCTTTACGTCTATTCCCGTCTGCCTTAATGTGATAAAAAATAAAATAAAAATAAAATAAAATAAAATAAAATAAAATAAAATAAAATAATGCCACATTCTGAATCTGAATAGGTAATATGCACTTTCCTCAAGGACTAATGCAAAATCTAATCCTCAACAATGACTGATGTGCAGTTAGCTATATCAGCCGCTTGAAAAAAATGAGGCAACACAAAATTGTTAGAGGGTAACAAGATGGCAAGAGTCTTCTATATTAGATTTTTCAGTAATTGTGATATCCAATTTAAAGCACATTTTTTTTTTTAAATTCTTTTTTTCAACGTTTATTTATTTTTGGGACAGAGAGAGACAGAGCATGAGTGGGGGAGGGGCAGAGAGAGAGGGAGACACAGAATCGGAAACAGGCTCCAGGCTCTGAGCCATCAGCCCAGAGCCTGACGCGGGGCTCGAACTCACGGACCGCGAGATCGTGACCTGGCTGAAGTCGGACGCTCAACCGACTGTGCCACCCAGGCGCCCCTAAAGCACATTTTTTAAAGGAAACTAATTCAGAGAAAACATGTCTGGTAAAATAAAAAAGAGAAAATTATGAAACACCAAAATTGATAGTAATTTATCATTGTATATTTTTGAAGTATCTAGCACAATTCTTTTTTTTTTTTACTAATTTTTTAAGTGTTTATTTATTTTGAGAGAGAGACAGTGTGAGCCAGGGAGGAGCTGAGAGAGAGAGGCGGAGACACAGAATCCAAAACAGGCTCCAGGCTCTGAGCTGTCAGCACAGAGCCCGATGCGGGGCTCAAACTCACGAACCATGATACCATGACCTGAGCCAAAGTTGGATGCTTAACCAACTGAGCCACCCAGGCACCCCATATCTAGCACAATTCTAATGACAGTGATAAATATCAATGTGTTGTGCATGCACAGGTATTAACATACCAAGATAATATGGCTGAATTGTATGCAATTCATTAGAATGAACAAATGCAAATGGATGTGATCCTATCTGTAAATCAATCACACAGGAGCCTATACTCCACATGAGTCCAGACAAGTTTCCATCTACACATTGTCAAATTATTTGAACAAACTGTTTGTTTGTTCGGTTGGTTGTTTCTTGGGGGAGAGAGAGAGAGCAGGGAGGGGCAGAGAGAGAGGGAGACAGAGGATCCAAAACTAGCTCTGGGCTGTCAACACAGAGCCAGATGTGGGGCTTGATCTCACAAACCATGAGATCAAGACCTGAACTGAAGTCGGTCGCTCAACCTACTGAGCCACCCAGGCATTCCTGATCAAATTGTTTTGTAAACTCTGTTTTTGGAATTGTCTTGAGAACAATGTCCTGTAGCAAATCTTTGTTCTTTTGTGGTGGATATGATTAATTTGAAGCCAATTGTGATAATTAAGAATCATTCCAGTTGGTAGTAAGATTTTGTTGTTGAAAATAAAAGTGATAAATCACAATGAATTTTGTTTTTCTATCTGTAACTTGTCAACTATATACAAAGGCAGCTCCAAAAAGGAAGCTGCAAAGATGTCTTTAAGCAACATCCCTTGGTTAAGTCTAGAGCCTTTAAAGGTGACCAATTAATTAGGTGACATTCAATGGATAAATATCCTGGCAGTCTCTTTTTAAAACATTAGTCTCCTTACAGCTGTTTCTAAATGAAGCAGAGGTAACATCTTTTTTTTTTTTTTTTTTTTTTTTTTTTTTTTTTACTATAGTCTCAAAATTTCCATGAGCTGTCAGATATATTTGACTGGTAACACTGACTAATATACCAAGTTGATAAATGCCCTTAATTTTTTTTTAACGTTTATTTATTATTGAGAGATGGAGAGAGACAGAGCATGAGTATGGGAGGGGCAGAGAGAGGTGGAGACACAGAATCTGAAGCAGGCTCCAGGCTCAGAGCTCTCAGCACAGAGCCCAACGCGGGGCTCGAACTCACAAACTGTGAGACCATGACCTGAGCTGAAGTTGGATGCCCAACCGACTGAGCCACCCAGGTGCCCCAATAAATGCCCTTAAGTTTTATCTCTGCAAACTAAAAAGTCATTTTAAACCCTGTATTACCAATGTACATTCAGCTTGCATAAAATACACTTTCATAAAAATAAATACTTTATATACGATTGATACATTGATTAATACAACAAGGTAATAAATGCTCTTAAATTTTATCTCTGCCAACTTAAGTTTCACTTGAAATCCTGTTTTACCAATGTACATTCCGTCTGTGTACAACATGCTAAAAATAGCATCACTGGATCTCATCGCTGACTTCATAAATGTGTATTTTCAAAACAATTTTGTAAGATTTCAGTAGTTATAAAGTAACCTTGCATCTTCTCTTAGTTCTTTCAGAGTTTCCATCTCTGGTAGTATGCATATAATATTTTCAGCCAATGTCTGGCACACGGGCAGATCCCCACCCAAGTGGGACAGCATGTTCTTGTTAGCTCTTTTTTTGTACATTTGCCTCCGGCTTCATCTATTTTTCCATCTACATTTTCTTTTTTCACATTTTCTCATTTAAAGATGTTACTGGGGGCACCTGGGTGGCTTAGTCAGTTAAGCATCCAACTTCAGCTCAGGTCATGATCTCACGGTTTGTGAGTTCAAGACCCATGAGTTCGAGTCTCTGTGACAGTTCAGATCCTGGAGCCTGCTTCACATTTTGTGTGTCCCTCTCTCTCTGCCCCTCCCTTGCTCATGCTCTGTCTCTCTCTATCTCTCAGGAATAAATAAATAGTTTTAAAAAATTAAAGAATAATAACAAAAAGATGTTTTTGTTTTCACAGCCACCTCAAATTATTTCTTAACAAAACAAGGTGGTGTAAGTAATAATTAGCTAACAAATATTCATCATGTATTAGATATTTTCTGATTTTCTTCAACCTGTTTATTGTTTTAGGTATTTTCAAAAAGAAATGTATAAAATATTTCCCTAAATATTACTACATTGGAATAATTTTAGAAGTTTCAGTACATTTTATTTTTCTATAATGTGTTGAACACATACACCCTCCCCCCCACACGCACACCTATAATGTGTTGCATTACAACAAAACAGTAGGTGATATTTCTTTTTTTTTTTTTTAATTTTTTTTTCAACGTTTATTTATTTTTGGGACAGAGAGAGACAGAGCATGAAGGGGGGAGGGGCAGAGAGAGAGGGAGACACAGAATCGGAAACAGGCTCCAGGCTCTGAGCCATCAGCCCAGAGCCTGACGCGGGGCTCGAACTCACGGACCGCGAGATCGTGACCTGGCTGAAGTCGGACGCCTAACCGACTGCGCCACCCAGGTGCCCCAGTAGGTGATATTTCTAAAAAGTTTTAAGTTTGAGTCCAAACCTTTCATTTAAGAATCTCAAATACAAAATCTAGGAAAACTTAGGTATGTCACTTACAGAAGTGATACAAACTTAGACTTGGACACATCACTTAAAGAAATGATGAAGTATATCCAGTTTATAGGCATTTCTGACTTCTAATATGTAATTTACCTCAAGTCATTTTCAATGGATCTGGATGTACCTATCTTCATTTGTTTCATTACCTCACTAAGTTTTGTCTTAAAATACCATTGTTCTTCCTAGACCCTCAAAATAAGGTATGCAAATATCAGATATGCTATAGTTTAATGCTTTCATGTCTGAGAGAGTATACAGGATAGTACATTGGTTAAAAAAAAGAGAGAGAGAGAGAGAGAGAGAGAGTGCGAGAGAGAGAAGGATGGATTATGTTGCCTTACTAAAAGGGTTTTTTTTTATTTGTTTCTCACATAGTTTAAAATTTTATATGAAAACAATGAATACAGTTTTGACAATGTCTGGTGTTTACTGGATGTTTTGCCCTTTCTTATCATCTACACTCTTCTAAGACTGATAAACATTCAGACCACAGAGTCTCACAGATTATCATTTTAGAAACATGTCATATACTGAAAGGGGTATAGATTCTAAAGTCTTTTACCCATATCTGGTAAAAAAAAAATTACTTGAAAAATACATATCAGGATAGTGTAAAAAAATAGCTTTTAGAAAAATTATCAACAATTTGGTAGGCGTAATGGAATCATGGGTTCATCACAAAATTTTTATGTTAGACAAGTCATCTCCCCAAATCTCTACACTTAATGCAGCTGTAAAATAAATGGATCTCACTGATACGTTGATGGGTGGGAAACCCTGGGATCCATAAATCTGAACATTTATACAGATAAGGAAAATACCACTTCCACTGATGTTACAAGTATACAAGTTGCAGGAATGACTTTTAGTTATTATTAGAGCCCCGCACATCTCTGGAAGCTAAAACACCATATGTAGAACAAAACCAATGCAGAAAAACTCCAACAGCATTCAATTTCAGTTTACTTCAAACAACTATAATATTAAGAGAAACCAATTTATTTTTGATTAGTTTAATGTTGTGGGAAGCAATGGGCAAGAGAATATCACATTGACATTATTACAAAGTTTTATTGCAATAGCATCATGACAAGTGTCCTAGCATGTGGTCACTTGTCTCTTCCTACCCAGCACATGTCTTCTCTCTGCCCAATTAGCTGCAGAAGAGATCAGTAATTGCCACTGTAAATGAAATGCAAACAATATACCAGCACTGTGGGCAGGTTTTTAAAATTCCATTTCTACTACAGATTCTAAAAAGCCACAAAGCTTTGCTTTCAAAAAAATTTTTGAGTACAAGTTGAATCATAAAAATATATCCCAAATTAGACAACCACCAACACACTTTAAAAGTGAAACCAAACTGTGTAAAATAGTAACACTAATTACATCTTCTCTATATTTAATTTTTATTTTTGCTCTTCAACCGCTTTAAAAATAGAACTCCCTATGCTTAGTGCTTCAATATTTTATAATGATAAGTGCTTGTTTAAAACTATTTTTCAGAAGTAGGGAATAAGATTCAGATTAGAATTAGGCACACAAAAAACAAAACAGAAAGAGAGTTAATTTGACATGTCATTTAGGAAAATCGTACAAAAGCAGAACTTCTTTGTGAAGAAATCTTATCACTGACCACATCAGACCACAAAACTTTGGTCTGCTCAATTGAAAATGCTATTGAAATTGCTATGAAGAGATACTCCTTGAAAGTACTAATATTCTGTGCAGCATTATCACATGAATGTACACATATAAATTTATTATGCCCTGAAGCAAATCCACAGTCTATAAGCTGAAGTTGACAAAGGAATCTATATTCCACATAAAAGAGGAGACCCACAGAAAAAAATTTAAAGATAAAATTGCTAGAAAGTTTTGGGAAACAACAACGAATACAATTACTTCAGAATGTGGACCTGAGTTCACATTATTATCAAATAGAACCTAACAGTCTTATGAAGAAATGATCACATTTAAACCTCTACTGTATTTGCGTAAAGATTATTTAATAAAAGCAGGACATCCAGGGGCAACTGGGTGGCTCAGTCGATTAAGCATCGGAGTCTTGGTTTCGGACAGGTCATGCACGATCTCGTGGTTTGAGCCCCATATCGGGCTCTGGGCTGACAGCACAGGGTCTGCTTGGGACTCTTTCTCTCTCTCTGCCCTCTCCACTTGCTCTCATGCTCTCTCTCTCAAAAGTAATAGACATAAAAAAAAAAAAAACAGTCAGTCCAAACAATGACCTAAATAGATTAGCCCTCACATTATCAAAGTGTAGTTGTTAAAAAACAATTAATTGGGCTCAATCACATGAATAATGAAGGAATTCGTTTGATGACAGTACTTTCCTAGAGTATTAGTGATGGTTTCTGTTGATATTTTAATTCAAGGAAAGAATGCAACAACTGGAAGTAAACCCTTCACTCAAATGTCTCTTCAAATTCTGCAATATTGGAAAGTGCACTCAGCAATAAACCGGTAACTTAAATTATTCAAGGGTTTCCAATTTAAACAAGCTCGTGGCACTTACTTGGCTACTGTGTACTGAACCCACTTTAATAAAGCCTTCTTAGCATTTCCTTGGATCTTGGTGGCCACCTTCCGCTTACTCGGGGGGCTGGCGGTCTCCGCGCTGACCATGCTGTCCACAGAGGATGTGCTGCCAGGCAGGGACTGCAGCTGTGGCAGGTTGCTGGTCAGCTCCTCAATCTGTTTGTGAATTAACAGTGGCCAAAAATATAAGAACTATCTTGTTATTTCCTTGGATGTTTTACTTTTCCAACTGAAAGTGACTTAAACTCACACTCTTGACATCATTGACAATGCAAGCTCTTCAGGGCATGATTGACATGGTACTCTTCACGGTACTTCCCACTGCATCTAAGACTACTCTATACACAGTCATGACTGCTAGTTACATACATGAATGCATGACTAAAACAAAACCTAATGGTTATCCAAACTCAGAGATGTACACCGCCCATTGAACCATAATGTAAACAATGAACTTTGAAGGATAATGATGAGTCAATACAGGTTCGTTAATTGTAACAAATATCACTCCGTGGAGGATGTTGGTTACGGGAGAAGCTACTCATGTGTGGAACACAAGGTATATGGTGAGAAATTTCTGTAGTTTTTGCTCACTTTGGCTGTGAACCTAAAACTGCTCTAAAAAATCAAGTCTACTTGTTTTAAAACCAACCCAATGGCTAGAAAACTTATTCTAGATGGAATGGGGAGTTAATTTCTCCCCTTACTGTCTAATAGGAGCATAAAACTGGTCCTTTCCAGAGAGCAGAAATGTTCCTAAGCTCTTTAATACACCAATATTTCATCTCCATTGTGCCCTGCTCACTTTTCAGACTGAGTACCTATGCCACAGTGTTTTAGAGGAGTTCCATATATGACATATATGACACCTTTGCAGGGAAGAGGAAATTCTTCTGCTAACAACAACAAAAGGTACATGTGAAGGTCACATTTCTTCTAACATAAGGATCAATCTCCAAGGTAGGGAAAAGGAGAGTATTATTAAAATTTCCACCACTACCTCCATCCATGACATTATATCAACCACAAAGGGAGCTATAGTTCAATACCTGGAAATACAGAATAATGGTCCACATCAATCCGAGAACTATTGATGGCCGGCCATCTGCTATATCGGTGGAGTTAATGTTGACTAGTTTAATCTGTTCAAAAAGAAAAACTCTACTTGTAACATACCAGAAGATTATAGACCACCTAATTATGCAATAATTAGCACTTTATTAGACATCAGTACAATTTGGTCATGCCTATGTAATGGTACACAAGAGTAAGTAGGGTGAGCCATCAAAACAGACAAGCACATGGTTTCAGTGGAAATCTCAGGAGCATTCATTAGGTGCACACAAGAAAAACGACTATGGAGTGAATTTCAAAAATTTCTTTAAAGTTGAAAACATATGACATCATGCAAGGAATTACCAACAAAATACCAGACAGGAAAAAAAAAAAAGGTGGGGGTTATTTTTTACATCCAGAAGTTGACTGGAACTTAAAAGAAACTGTGATCAGTAGTTTAAAAAAAATGCACTTACTTTGAAATTTGTTACCAAATAGCAAGAAATTTATGTTCTCTTTCACCTATAAAAGCCAGGAGTTAAAAATTCTAAAATTTGTACTAACCGGTGATCCTCTGTACATGGACTGACATGAAAAAAAAAGGAAGAAGATGATATACATACATACAGAATTTTTCAAAATTAGAGTTATTTGCTCAAAGGGAATAAAAATGTAGATAGCAAATTTAGAGCATGATTGGGAATATATTTTAAAGATACAGGAAAGCCAAGAAATAATAAAGTAGAAGAGGCTGTTAGGGTTCAGTTCCTTACTTTTTGGCACTGGTACCCGTAAAGCGTTCAGGATAGATGTTAACCTGTTTACAGTTGTCCACAATTATTTATTTCAATACTTTCCCAACTATTAAAAATGTTATTTCCTAAATCTCAGCAAAATGAACTGTATGGTAAAGTCTGTCTCAGCCAATCTTGGTAGAACACAATTAACAACTGCTCATTGTCCTTTCCAAAATCCCTAAACAAATTAGAAGAAAATAATAATAAAGTACTTCTTAGATTTCTAGCTCAATAATTCTTAGACCAGATTTAATAAGAAAGTTCAGAAGTTTGTAAATGGTTTACTTTAAAAAAATTATCAGATGCAAAAATACTTTAATTAGTTTAAATGTACTAGTTATGTATCAGAGGACTAGCACGATGCTAGCACGAAAACCACTGTAAATCACTTGACATATACCTAAGGGATTTTGTCTCGGGGGTAAAATTCATTTGTCAGGTTTGAAGACAGAAAAAAAAATTGAGAACGTGCATAAATTGCAAACTTATGTGTCTACTTCTTTTAAACCTAGCACAGCATAGGACATATAATACATGTTTGTGGAAAATAAAGAACATCACATTTTTCAATTTTGTGACAGAACCCTATTGCAATGCCCATAATCATTTTGATTACTCTTGTCTACAGCTACTCTAGAATTTTCTCCACCTCCATTTTAGTATCCACGGGGCACAGATATATAATACATACTAATAACCATAAGGTTAATGTATTCCATAAAGGGCAGATTATTTCTCTTTCTTTATATACCACTCTTTTTAAAAATGGTAAGTTGAATTTCTTACCTCAATCCAGCTCCAATTGTACCATGAACTTAACATATTGTACTTACGATAGAACCTAAAGATAACTCACTCAACTTCTAAAGAAAAAAAGGTTTTCTTGTACCATGAACTTAACATATTCTACTTACGATAGAACCTAAAGATAACTCACTCAACTTCTAAAGAAAAAAAGGTTTTCAGGGGCGCCTGGGTGGCTCAGTGCGTTAAGCAGCCAACCTCAGCTCACAGGTCATGATCTCATGGTTCATGGGTCAAGCCCCACATCGGGCTCTGTGCTGACAGCTCAGTGCCTGGAGCCTGCTTTAGATTCTGTGCCTCCTTCTATCTCTACCCATCTTCCCCACTTGTGCTCTGTCTCTCTTTGTCTCTCAAAAATAAATAAATGTTAAAAAACAATAAAAGAAAAACGTTTTCAATAATTATTTTCTCTCTTAAAAACTGTATGTTCCATAATGGGCTTGTGGAGCACGGGTTTTTTGTTCATGTTTGTTTGATTGTTTGTTTGTTTTCCTTCGCTTCCCTTCCCTTGCAAAATCCTACTAAACTTAACCTATTAAATTCTTAATAGCACAGGAGAGTGGGATGGACAATAGAGAGATACCTGAAGAGACTAAAAAATTCCTAGAAACCAGGAAGAGAATGAAATCACAATGATGGACCTCACCTTCAACCTGTTGGCCCAGAGGCTGCGAGAATGCTGCCCAAGAATCTGCTTTAACAAAACTTCTAGGTTTTGTTGATTCTGATGTACGTCAGTGTTTGAGAATCCCATACTAGACAATGGCCCATGTAATCTCAAGAAGTTTGATTTTGCAAGCCAGAGGCCCATGTGGACTGAATTTGTGTTCCCCCCAAATTCACATGTTGAGGCCCTAAACCCCAATGTGACTGCATTTAGAGACAGGGCCTTAAGGAGGTAATTAAGGTTAAATGAAGCAGTAAGAGTGGGCCCTAATCCAATAGGGCTGGTGTCCTTATAAGAAGAGCAGAAGACACTAGAGCTCTTTCCACACCCACAGAGAGAAAAAAGCCGTGTGAGGACACAGTGAGTAAGTGTCTATCTGTCAGCAGAAAGAACTGAAGAGACCCACTCTGCTGGTACCTTGATCTTAAGCCTCTAGCCCCCAAAACTGTGAAAAAATAAATTTCTGTTACTTAAGCCATCCACTCTCTGGTAGTACAATGGTAGCCATAGCATACTGAGACAAGGCCCACGGATGTTTCCAAAAAATATTCAAATTATTCAGGAATAAATTTCAAAAAAAATTTCAGTTGAAACTCCAGATTACTAGTGTTTCTTGATATACTGGAAAACCTAACAAATAGATGCATTGACACTTTATGCTAGTTGCCTTCTACAGTGTGATGGGGGGTGAGCCATTCTAATCAGTGATGCAGGTAGCCAACTACCCGAATCATTTAATAAATAACAAATAAATAATTAAACTTCAATAAAAACCCAGATCACTGACTTTTCTTGTTCAGTTGGAAAATCTGGGATCACTGTGCTTGATTTCACTGACGCAACTACAGCTCAAACTGAATGTTGGCTTCCGTCTTGCAGACAGGGCACAGTGCTGCTGGGTTCTCCTGTTTCCATAGGCAACCTCTAACTCGCTTCGTCTTTTACATCACCTATCCAACTTCATAGGAATTGGAATTCATGTTGCTTGTCTGCACTCAGGGAAGTTTTGGGAAAGATGGTCCGTGGTTGGCTCCTTGTGGTACTGTTCAGAAGGGCCCACCTGACGCCTCATTGGAGAAAGAATCTGGGGGAAATGGTGTTGGATCTATTCATTAGAGTCAGAGTTACCTGGTCCCTATCAGGTACTAATGTAGGCTTTTTTCAAATGCCCTGTAAACAAATGGAAAATAAACACAATGGTAGAGTTTTCTCCAGGAAAACTTGAGGAGTGCCCTCATTATTCCTTAAATCAAGAAGGACTAGACTAATATTCTATTATTTAAAGAAAAGAAAAACCTAAACAGAGGGCAAGGTAAGTCCAAAGGTCAAAGACAAATGCCTGAAAACACATTTGAAATGCAAGTTCTTAAATTATAAAAATAAATAAATAAATAAATAGTAAGAAAGTGGGCATCAAAGAGCCTTAAAAAAACTCATTCCTGCTCACAGTCAATTTTTTATTATTTAGGGTTGTTCTGTGAAAATGATCTTGTGTAAAACCAGTGTTCTGCGAAAAGAAGCCTCTTTGGTCCTCTTTGCAAACAACGCCTTTATAGTCCTTAAATTTTCTCCAAGGCATTAATAAGGGGAATTTTGTTTTTATAGTCATAAAGAATACCTCAGAATAAAGCATGACACTATTGTTATATAGGTAAAATGGGAGACTGAATAACATGGAACACTAGAAATATCTTGTTCAACGTGGCTTTTTCAGCTTTCTATAAAAAAGTCATAGACGAAGCTGAAGGAAGAGAAACACCCCATTAATAGTGATATTAGAGTGATCTGGAAACAATGAGTAATATTCTGTAAGAAGCTAATATTGTTAGGGCGCCTGGGTGGCTCAGTCAGTTACGCATCCAATTTCAGCTCAGGTCATGATCTTGTGGTTCATGGGTTTGAGCCCTGTGTCGGGCTCTGTGCTGACAGCTCAGAACCTGGAGCCTGCTTCAGATTCTGTGTCTCCCTCTCTCTTTCTGCCCCTCCCCTACTTGCACTTTGTCACTCTCTCTCTCTTTCAAAAATAAATAAACATTAAATAAAAAAGACCTAATATTGTTTTTCTCTACCATCTTAACGTCCAGAATCTCTCTTCGGCATGGGAGTTTGCACAACTGACTAGACTTTATATTTTTCATCTCACTACCACCTGACCAAAATACAAATGATTCACTGAATAGAATCAAGTATTTTTGTATTTTTCAGAATATTTCTGTCACACAGAAAGTATTCAAATATGCATTCATGCAGTAAATAAATTTAGTGCATACAGACTTAGAAGGAAATAGTTGAATCATTCTATTTTCCAGGAGTATCTGGATATCTATTTATAAACCTGTTTTTGGTATTTCCAAACACAGACACCTGAATTCCCACAAGTTAGGAAAAGGCTAAATCTAAAAGGGTTCTTGCAACCCGTTTGGAAGAAAATATGGCAATACCTAAGAAAGCTACATATACACTTACTTTTTGACCCAGCAATCACACTTGAAAATACACTTCCAATAATAGGAAAGTATTATGCATAGTCATTAATTGCATCGTTTTGGTTGCAAAATACTAGAAACAACCTAAATTCCCATTAAGAGAGTAGTTGAATAAACTCTGGCACCTCCAGCTATTGGAATACGATGCAGGTGTGAACATGAGTAAGGAAAATCTCCATGAACTGATTTGAATGATTTCCAGGATATAATGTTACATGAAAAACCAGAGTGCAAGAGTGTTTTGTAAGATGTTACCCTTCACGTAAAAAAAAAAAAAGATGGTGTATGAAAATACATCTGCCCATTGGTGCAAAAGAAATGTAGGCAGAATAAATCAGAAGCTAGAGAGCTTGGTTACCTAAGAGGAGATAGGGAATGGAAGGAAGAGGAATGAGAATGTAACAGTAGAGATAAGGAGGGGGTGTCTTCTCTAAGTGTAACTTTTACTCTTGGAATCATGGTAATGTCTAGCTCCCCAGATAAAAAATAATAATAATTAAAGTCAACTAGGATGTGTGTAAAGGGCAGGAGGGAGTGTTACTTCAAACCGAATATGATTTGATGACGTAACTTTATTACAAATGCATAATATCATCACACTGAAGGGAACGAAGAAGACCAGAAGTAACCTAAGTAAATTTTGAAAACAGTCCTTTGACTGAATGCTGTAATACTAAAGACAACAAGAACTCTACACCACACTGTTCTCCAGTTAATAAATCCGTTTCTCACAGGGGTGTGGTGAGAAATTATTAAACTATTTCATGTCTGTACTAGGACTGAAAAACAGGTGAATGCATTGTAGATGAAAACCAGGTTTCTTATTTTCAG